AGTTGGAGGTAGAACATTGTACACTGTTGATACTTTAAGGGCTTTTTCTGCATCCTGTGTCTAAGTTACTGAACAAAAGGCATGCTATGAGTGACAATGCCTTTGGTACAGGGACCAGAACCATCCATCCCGTCTTGACCATTATGTTAGAAAGCTTCCTTCTCCCTTTCTTCCCTTTGGCCAAATTGGTTTTTGAATTCTGCTTTGCTTGGTGGAACAGCTTCAGTGAGACATATGGAGAACATCCCATCCTAAAAGAGACTGATAGTTAAGATCTTTCATGCTAAGGGGTACTGTAAGGATAAGGCTATTTTGTAGACAGGGCCAAACACTGGTCTCAGAGCTATATCAGTGTATGGACCTAGCCTTAAGTACTGTTATTAAGGGAGTTAATCTCCTACAGACTGGAGGGGCTGAAGTTACACTGGTTCCCATTGTCATTCAAAGTCATTATGGGAAGTGAAGGTTGTCACAATGCAAATACTGGTTCCCAGGTAAACTTTTTGCATCTGTGTAATAGAGAAAGGGCAAGAGTTGCTAGACAGGTTTCATACCAGTGAAACAGTTTTCTCTGCCTACACAGATGGGATTCTTAAGTCTTGGCTTAGCTAGCTGCTTGTGTTGGAACAGTACAAAGTGATATGAAGACAGTAATGGACTTGCTGCTTTTGTTTCTAGTGGTGCCTGTTAGTAACAGACACTGGTGCTTATTTAGTGGAGTTGCCTTTTCCTTCAGAAAAAAACCCAAACAATTCTTGTGGGAACCTATTCTGTCTCCCTTGCAGCAAAAGCAGAGAATAATACTGAATAATGTCTTTTACTATTTATTTGCTGTTTGGATCCTCAGGAATGTTCTCTATTAGAGAAAATGTAGAAAACCATCACTGCAATATATAATATTTTCGTTTGGAATAGGATATTAGGTGTTTGACTTGAGGATCCTAAAATAACAGTGTTGCAGATAAAAATGCATGGACCAAATAAAATGAGGTTTCATATACGTAAGGATTTTCTTGCTCTTATTGACAGTAAACAGCTTAAGGGAAATAAATTTTCTGTTAGCTTGTAACTAGCACAGCTTATGTTATTTTACTTCCCTTTTTATATGTTAACGTTAGGGATATTATAGATTGGACTTTAATCCTTCTCCAAATAAACCCTATTCACTTTCTTTTCTAGTTCTTAAGTACAACAAAGGAGGAAGGTTGACAAATGTAAGTGAAATCAAATAATGTATGACAGCATCTCCTCCTTCCTTTCTGTGTGCAAAGGTGATTCTGATGAAAGACTTGGTTAGTGTTCTTAATGCTCGTCTTGATCAGTGACGGATAATTTCTAGCAACTGTAGGCATGTGAATATTCTGCTATAAGAGAAGTTATGGTTAGATTTGTGTCAAGAAAAAATGTGCTCCTCAGATTATGCATGCCGTCATCACTTGGTGCATTTGCCAGCTCCATATTCATGGCTTGTGTTTATCCTATTTTGCTCCCTTACATATTTATAATTAAAAGCATTTGGCATTTTTAGAGTTCACTATCTTCTTACTAACCTACAGTGCTAAACATGTTAGTGGACAATTTTCTTACCTACCTCAGGATACTACCTGTATTCTCAAAAATTCACAAAGCAGGATAGATGGTGGATAATGGGAAAAGCAGTTTCTCTACAGTGACTATGTCTACACTGACTCTTCAAGAGTACATGAGAAAGACCTTAAGGTCAGATTCCCCAGGCAGATTTTTGTATTTTTTTAGTGGGGAGAAGCAGCAGTCTGGTGGTCTTTTCTGTGAGATGCTTCATACTTCAAGAGGTGGTTTCGAGAATTTTATTTCCTTCAGGGCCCTTTGGTTGGCAATAAGGGGTTTTGCGCAAGGTGCTAATTGCTTAGTAAGATGGGACGAGTATCAAGTAAAATTTTGGAGGTGGGATTCTCTTATTCTCTTCCTGTGGTAGGAAAGCCAGTTTTCCCACATGTGGAAACATACTTTCTTCTCCAACCAAAAGTCCACATCATGTACAATTGACTCAATTATTTTTATTCACCCCATTCTATCTTAAAAAACTATTTATTGTTTAATCAATACAGAACAGTTTAATCTGACTACTGCTTCAGTTCTGCATGGTATTTAAAGCTGCTATTGTATTTAAAGGTCATCCCTAAACCCACAAAAGGTGTTCAGAATATAGTTTTGTAGGTGCCATAATACCTAATCACTGGACAGTGTTAAAGTAACAGCACCTCTAAATAAGAACTCTAGAACACATGCCTTAGAGCATCATGTATTTTAACAAGACTTACCTTATAGTTAGAAGTCTTAATTTTAATGGAAATTGACTGTAAAAATTAAGGTTATAGACAAATTTTCATGATCTGTGAAGTTCATAGAATGCTAGATGTTAAAAAGAACAATTGTATTTCTCTGTAAGCAGAATCCTAGTTGTCTCAGATGAAATGTTTGGTGTAACTTGGTTTTGTCTTTACTGAAATAATTTAAATTCAGTAGAGTGATATGTATGAAGATGTCATTTTTTACTTATACTTTTTTACTTAATAGATGTGTGTAATTTTAATTAGAATATTGTTTCTCTCTCTCTTTTACATGAGAAAATATCTACCCAGGATACAAGTCAACTAAAACAGTTAATTGCAAGGAAAACTTCTAAAAATTAAACGTAGTGCAATTAATCTGATTTCTATGTATTCATCCTGCCATATTTCAGAGTTGCCACTTTTAGCTTCATGCAGTGTATGACATTCAACAAAAATGAACTGACATTTCTTTACATCTCATCAAACTGTCGTATACTCCTGATCACTAGCCCTAGTATCCCAGCAGGCAGCAGTCTTCTCACCTGGCTGGCTGCTGTAATCTTTGTGTTCTTGCAGCTTGCTCAGGAATAGGGACTGGGTGGTTTCTGTCTCTTATGATTTGTGTCTCTTCCCCCTCCTGTTCTTGTGGCTGTCCTGCTGCAGAACAGGCTGCAGCTTCTGAGTCTTCTTCCTGCGTTGTCTCAAGAGGAGCTTCTTCCTCTTTCACTGACTGGGGCAACCTCAACTTCTATTGTTCCCTCTTGGTTGCAGGAGTGGCTATTATGTTTAGGGTTGTGTCTCTGGTGTAGCCATGGCATCCGTTTGTAAGTCCTTAGATCCAGAGACCATCTCACTTCTTTAAGGGTGTTGAACACAGGCCTGCTAGGCATAGGCCAGGCCCCAACATAACACCAAAAGTCTTTGTCCTTGGTATAAGCAAGGTATCCTTCCTTCAAGTGGTCTGCCATTTCAACAGGATTCTGTGCCTGTTCAAATGCAAACTCCCAGGTCATTAGAGGTGAAAACTGCTCTAGACACCTGCCCAAATTCTCCCACACACCTTGCTACCCAGGAATTTGCTACCTCAGTGCACTTTCCTGTGTGTCATCCCCAACTAGTTAGTTACTGAAGGTCCCACAGAGTTTTGAATTTGGATCACTGGATTCAGAGTTGGAGGATGGCTTTGTATACCACTGATGCAAGTGGACCACTACTGATGAAAGAAGGAAGGTTAGGGAGTTAGCAGTGATGGAGGTGGTCTACGGCAACCTAGACAACAACCAGGTCTCCACAGATCTGGATGGCGTCGATTGCACGTGGGCCTTGTGGCAGAGGTTAGTACAGTATGCACCAGTGTAAAATGCCGACACCTTGGTGATGGTGGACTGGCCAGATATCAAGGCACTAACTGTGGGCAAACTGTCCCACCAGCTCTAACAAGCCAAAGAGTATCTCTCTTCCTCTGCAACCCTGTGAGCTGGCATGTTGGCTGTGGCTAGTGTGCCACCAGGTTCAATGACTTGAAAAGAATATCTCCTCCTTCTTGCCCCAACAGCCAGGGTCTCAGCTGTCAAAGGTGCTGAAGTAGGTAACAGCGCCTTAACTGCATGTTGTGCTGTGTTGCCACTTATTTTTCAAGGATGATGTTTTGGGTGGTACCATAGGTTGCAGGGTACATTTCTAGCCACTTGCTAGTTGCCTCTGCCACTGGAAGCACATAGCACTTGCCTTGGCAGCACGTTCAGATGGTCAGGTGTAATCAGTCAGCTAGGCCTCCTCATATAGATAGCCCAGCCACCATCTTTTATTCCAAGGAGACTTTAGTCATTTGCCTCAATTGATTATGGCACGTTTCACGTTCGTGGGTAGCCTGTGCAGTAGCTTCAATTGCCAGATCCACACCTTGATCAAGAGCCCATCAGTATGTTGCATCACTTCTTAGGTGTCCCTAGGGACATGTTTCATGGGTCCATTGAGCTAGGAATAGCTCACCTTTTCATTCCCAGTCCAGGTCCACCTGAGTCACTTCATTTCTGGCAGCCTGATCTATCTGCTCATTGGTCTCTGGTGGTGCAACTCTTGGGCATGTGAGCATTTACAGGATGTATATACACATCATGATGTGGATGTATTCTCAAAGTACACCTTACATAATTTGTAAACATGAATAAAGCATGCCTGTCTTACCCAACTCTCCTGCCCCCTGCATTTTTCTTGGTTTAATTTCTCTGCTTCTCTTTGTATTAATAAAATTTAACTTCTTGAATAATTAATTTGTATTTCTTTTCCACATTTGTGCAAAAACAGCTCATGAAAACACAGTTGTGTGTACCTGTTACATTTCTGGTTGCTGCTATTCAGCCTACTTGATTTTCACTGAAGCAAATATGTTAAAAGGGTTTCTGAGGACATTGGCAATGGAAGGGTAATGGGAAAGCTCATAGCCTGATCTGTGTCTTCCATAAATATGAAAGTGATAAACTGAGTAAAAAATTGAACTCAAAAAGAGTTCAACTTCCAGCTTTAAAAAGACTTGACATACATTTCTCAATGAATACAAAGTAGTTTTGCAAACCAGTTTGAATTGAGGTGAGTAGCACATCTAAAATGGTTGTGTTTAAAAAAATATGTGTATATATGCTTGTGTACAAATATATATAAAAACTTCTGCTCCTTCTTCCTTTGTAGTTGAAACTACTGCAACGTTGCCTGGCAGAAAGCAGATAACAGGTAATGGAGTTCTGTATGTTTTTTTCCCCATTGTTCTTGTATTTTGGAAAGTGCATAATGAAGATTGCTGATAGTGTTACTTTATAATTTATGGAGATAGTTAAGTATATGTAAGTATTTGCAAATTAATTATCCATATCATCCTTGTGGCTTATTAGCATATTTCATGGTGCAAACAGCATCAGTAATTTTCCAGAGAAAATGAAAATAAGGTCACTGAGGTTACTCCAATTCTCCTTTCATTGCAGAAATTATATTTACATTTATCCTTTGGAAAGAAGCTATTACTAGTTTTCATTAAGGCAAGCAAAATAGTCTGAGCAAGGAATCATGTGAGTGATTAGCATTTCAGGAACTCCTTGTTTACCATGTTTAACAAAAAAAAATCTGGTTTTCCACAGAGACTTTTGGTATCTCTGAATAACTCTTCTACAATAGTAGGAAAGGCCTTACAGTGTAATTAGTGCATTGTGAGTAACAATCTAGGATGACTTTTGAGTTTTGAGAGAAGATGTTGAAATACCTTAAGTATGTATTTTTAAATCATGTTTCATATTTGCAGCCAGTTGTTCTTTAGATTATATTTCAGTGATAATTGTGACTCGACTTGTCTGTGGCACTGTCAAAAACTACTCAGTAAATGAAAGGGCTAACTTTGAAGTTCCTATGTGAACCAGATATCAAATTTACTAATTTCTTTTTGATCAAAATACTGACTGTAACAACATCAAAGATTTAGAGGCTAGTGTTTACTATATAAATAGTTTGCTGGCTCCTGTCAAGATCAAAGGTCCAAACTTGAAATTAATTAGCTTTTTGTAGGATAGAAAAGAGAACAGATATGTTTGGGATAAATTTTAAATGGCAAGTCTCAGTGTTATTATACAAAGTCTGAGTTGAGTTCCTCATATCTAATTACAGCCATCTTATTTTGTAGACTTGATTCTCATTCCCAGAATAAGCAAGCCACTCAAGGTAGGCATGTGGCTTTCAGGCTAGTGTGGCCCATATCTTGGGTCCGTGATTTTTGTTGAACATTATGCAATGCAAACTGCCCAGTATTTGTTGAAAAGAAATAGTTTTCAGTTGAATTCTGTTTGAATTCACAGAAATTTTAATTTTATCAGAGGTTGGTACAGTTGCCTTTTTTGACAACCTGGAAGCGTTCTTCTGATGAGCAGGTGTTGCCCTCTTCTGGTGAAAGAAGTAAACTTTTGATAATACAAGGAAAGGCTGCTGTGGATGGTTATGTATGTGTCTAAAACTTCATCGTGTTCCTTTTTTTCCTTCTTATTTTTTTATTTCTGAAACAAAACCTGCAAATTCAGGAGAATCAGCTGCAACGACCATTTCTGGTAAGAAAATCTGGACTTTAATGATTACTGCAGTGTATGTTATTTTCTATTAGATAAATCTTCTGCTTTTACCTCAGGTGATGCAGAAAAGCTGTAATGGGAAAGGCTGCTGTGGATGGTTATGTATGTGTCTAAAACTTCATCGTGTTCCTTTTTTTCCTTCTTATTTTTTTATTTCTGAAACAAAACCTGCAAATTCAGGAGAATCAGCTGCAACGACCATTTCTGGTAAGAAAATCTGGACTTTAATGATTACTGCAATGTATGTTATTTTCTATTAGATAAATCTGCTTTTACCTCAGGTGATGCAGAAAAGCTGTAATGTAAATGAGTTGCAATTTTTAATATTTTTTTAATATTTTTTAAGAAAATATTAATTTCTTCATTTTACTTCGTAATGAAACAGTTTACCTTATAGCATCACTCATGGTTTGTGGCAGTAATGCTTGGGGATGAAGCGGGTGCAAGTTGCTTGATGAAGAGCCTTTTGCCCAGTAACCTGAACAGTGAGCAGTTTGCAGAGATGGCAGAGGAGACACAGTGTAGTGAGAGAGTCCCTTTACATTTCCTCCCACCCTCGCGGATGTGCGTGTCATTTGAGGCTGTGTGATACTACGCATGTGCGCACACAGAACACATGCGAGACTCTGATAACTTCTGGGACCAGAGGTGATAAACATAGAATCATAGAATCATAGAATCATGGAATTGCCCAGGCCGGAAGGGACCTCCAAAGGTCATCTAGTCCGACCTCCCCGCAGTCAGCAGGGACACCCCCAACTAGACCAGGTTGCCCAGGGCCTCATCGAGCCTCTCCTTGAATATCTCCAGGGATGGGGCCTCAACCACCTCCCTGGGCAACCTGTGCCAGTGCTCCACCACCCTCACAGTAAAGAACCCTCTCCTAATCTCCAATCTAAATCTGTTCCCCTCCAGCTTGAAGCCATTGCCCCTCGTCCTGTCACTGCAGGCCTTTCTAAACAGGCTCTCCCCAGCCTTCATGTAGGCTCCCTTGAGAACTGCAGACACACAGAAATAGCTGTGTGAAAGCCAGTTGCCTTCTTCCTTTATGCGTATTGACACATAGTGATCTGGAGAAAAGAAATAATGCAGTCACAAACACATGCTTTTGTTCTTTACAGATACAATCTTTCTCTGGAATTGGTTTATCTTTAACAACTGCAGTCAATTCAATAGTTGTTGTTTATACGAAGCCAAACAATACAAAGGAAGTCAGCACTTAGTTTTCACTCTGATTTCTGATATTTTGGCTGCTTTTACTTGCCTTAGAAAATCAGTTGTCATCAGCATTGTTTCTTAAGAACAAACTATGCTTAGCTTTTACTCTGAGGTAGGAATTAAGAGGGCATTTTTGAAAAGGCTCAGAATGGCTAGTCTAGTTGAAATAAATATATCAGAAAGAAAAGCTCTCCATGTAATGAAGTGGATTGCTTTTTTTTTTTTTTTCTTGATATGCGACCATCTTTATGCAGAGCCACCAACTTTTCATTATTATATTTAAGGTATTTTATTAATGATAGGGATGTTTTTAGTAAAGAAGTTTGAAAAGCTTAATATTCTGTTATGAAGCTGCTTTTCCCCATTTAAAAAATATCACTAAGTTGCTATATTGGAGTGATATGAAGTGGTCCTCTAACCACTTTGTATTCCTGTGCTGACACCTAAAATATGCTTACTAAGCACATCCTTCCGGAGCAATCTAAAAATTTTCTTATATTGTCTTAATTTAATTTTTTTTTTTTTTGACACAACTGGAAAAATAATTGCATCCTCACTTTATTTATATATGGTTACTGGCAAAAATTGCTGTTTTGGAGAGACTGCCAAACCCAGTGTGTCATCTCTGCTGATGAGTGTTGCAAGTTCTGCAGGAAATAGCCCTTCGGCCTAAGCAGTTATTGCTATTGGATATGCCAAATTCATCTGTATCTTCTGAAAGACTGAAACCAATAAAAGGAACTTACCAGAAGGAACTCGATTACCAGCTATTCAAATTCAGACACTTAGATTTTGGAAATAATGTCGATGTTCTTAACAGCATTCCAGTTGTTCTTAAAATGGAACTTAAATAATAGTCAGTTCTGGTTTGAAGTTTTGCATGCTTGATCTTTTTCCTCTAAAATTCATAGAAATAAAATATTATATTATTACGGTTTTTACTTCCTTTATCTTTTTTTTTTTTTTTCCAGAATCCTCTATTGTTACTTTTATCACCTATCCTATTAATCCTTCAGGCAAGATTTTATTAATGTTTCTCTTATTTAGATTTAGTTAGACTTAGATTTTTTTAGATTTTTATTGTTTTGTTTTTACTGATACTATTTTTTATTCTTCAGATATGACTTCAGAGGAGACTACACAAACTGCAGGTGAGAACTAGCATGAAGAGAGTAAGGTTTAAGGGAGATTGTTGCATTCATGAAAGTTCACTGGTTTTTTGATAACCGGGATTTGTTTAGTCCAAATTATTTTCTTTCATGATCTTGAAATCTGTATTTATCACCAATCTATATTTTAAGTCTGCATGGGTATGGTTTTGAAGCGCATTTAACTCACGCTGAGCTGTTAAACATTTGTTTTTATTCAAAATATTACATTGCTTGCCAAAGCCCAAACTGGACATACTTACTTTTAGCAAGTATGTAGTTTTCTGGTATATCTATAGATAGAATGTTTTCTCTACTTTCTGGTAGTATTTAAAGTATTTTACAGAAATAAAACGTACACTCCATTCCTTAAAGACACTTACATGATACATGTTCCTGCAATGAGTTTGCCAAATAGGATCAGTAAAGACTCAATCAGAAGAACCTGAGAACTACTACCCCTTTTTCTCCTGATGTTTGCATTCAAAAACAAGGGGGAGGTTTATCCAATATCCGTACAGATTCCTACCTGTTTGTATGAGCTAGATATCCTGCTATTCTTCATAGTTACTGGAGAGAAAGACACATTTTGAGAACACAAAATGCCCACGTAGAAAAGGTTAAATGAGAATCACCCCTTAAAAGCACCACTTTGTCTACTGAGTAATAGGGAGCCTACAGTAACGGGCTCATATAGGGACATAAACATTGGAATGGATGGATCTCAGTCTTAGTGCTGCTTTTTCATTTCCCATGCTGAAGGTAACTTAATTCCCTTATAAATGCACATGTGTTTACACTTCTGGGAAGACAGAGTCTAAAGTAGAAATTAGGAGACTTATTTTTGTGATGTGTTTTGTAAGCTTTTTAAGTTAAAATGTGAAAATTTAATTTAAAATCTTTTTTTCTTTTTTTAACAGAAGCTCTTAGCATCACTGATTATTACTCCACCATTATTCCAGGTAGGAATAATACATCACCACTGATCTTCTTTTATGATCCTCAAAATTAAGTGTGTGTGAGTTCAGGAAATCTGCTCCCAAATATTTTTAATAGGATCTTTTTTCTTGGTATTATGGTGTGTCTGCCTTACTTCGCGTTCATCTCCAGTCTGGCAGAAGGTTTAATTATGCGATGCTTTCCTAGATGGCCGCATGTAGAAGAGTTTGGTTATTTTGTAAGTCAGAGCAGCAGGTTAACCACAAAGATGTAAGAAACACAATCTCAGAGACCATGTTTACTTTAAAAAAAAAAACGTTCATGCTTGTTAATAGAGTGAATCAGACTGAGTCCAGTCATGATGTTCTCAGGGCAAGTCCAGTCTATATGAGGAGGCTGAATTAAGTTTTTTTATTCTCCATGTAGCAGCCTGATAGACCAATTAGAATGTGTTTGCAGTGAATTAGTGCAAGTGATAGAAGAACTGGCTTGGAGCCATAGGGGCTAGCGTGATTTGACTGTGTGAATGTGACCTGCAGGAAGTTTGCAGCTATGTTATCTGGTGATCTTTGGGGACTGGAAGCACTACTGACTTTTGATCGGTCTTTTATCCTCCACACTGCTTATCTGTTTTGTGCATTTTGGTGGCATGCAGGGACCCTAAACAAGACTAGGTGGCACACAAATGGGTACTCTGTAAAGAAAAAGAGGCTGATATTACTCTTTACTTTTGTGTCAATCCTGGATTTTTTGTTGGGCTTTATAAGTGTTGTTGTTCGTTATGTAGTTAATAATTTTGACAAATTCAGTTATTTATGAACATGTTATTTCTTTAAGGATTGGTGTGTTGTTTTTTTTAAAGTGCTGATACAATTTTCGTAACTATTTCCCTGACAATGGCCAATACAAAAAGGAAAGCAAATGTATTTGAATCTAAATGGCTGTCTGATAAATGTTTTTTTTCCTAATCATTTGAATATTGCCATCAGCTCACAATCGATGCCCTCTGATGGCTGTTTGTTGATGATGGTAAAATTGACGAAGCCTCAAGCTGTAGCAGGCAAATGTTTGTACCACAGAAGAAGTTAAAAAATTTAAAAATTACCATCCATTAGCTAATAATAGCAGAGAAAATAGCGTTTGTTTTTCCATCAATGGAGGCCAATCTATCTACTTAAATAAGGGAAGTTGTGCTGCCACATTGTTTTTATGAACATGTGTAGGACTTTTGGATACAAATATCTTTCTGGTCCTTCTTTTTTTTATTTTATTTTATAGAGCAGAGACATCTGTTTACAGTAAGGCTTAATTTGGGATCAGTGTTATTTCTTTGCTGTGTAGGTAATATTAAAAATAGTTACAGCAAGCTTTTGCTCCCATATCTAAAGACATGTGCTACTAGATGCAAGTGTATACGTTTGCTATCATCATAGTTTGAATTCTATTGGGTAGAACAGTTTCATGCTATCATAAGTAGCCATAGTGGGATCTCCAGAAGTAGATAATATGCTACCTAGTGATTGAATACTGTGATACTTGAAGAGCTTATTTATGATATGCTGATTTCTATTTTATTTGGATTTAAAAAAAAAAAAAAAAGAGACCACTTGCATGTAGGTCTTCTGTGGCAACTGTTATTAAAAATTATTCAAAATTAATTAATCAAAGCCAGCATGGTTCACTCTGAATACTAAGTCTTGGAAAATGTCATGGTAAGTGCCCTAGAGAAGTGAAAATATTTCTGAAGTGAAATATTTCTAAAAAGTAAAGACCTTTACATTTAAAGTATTGAAATGATTGTATATATGTAGGTTTGTCAGTACTGGGTTTAAGTTCAAATATTTTACTCACTAGATTTTTATTCTTTTTCCAAAAAAAACCTACAGCAGAAGAAACCATTTTGTGCAATGTAACACCTGTCTGTAATTTCTCAGGTTAGTGGTTTTCTTTTTCCTTTTATTTTTGTAAAAAAAAAAATGTTTCCAACTGCTTTCTGCTCTGAGTAATGGGGCAACTTTTAGTTGCTATGTTATACAATGTCTAAAAAATCTAAAAAATTAATGTGAAAGAGGGGTATTTAAAAGTAATGTTTAGTCTATTGTCTTTTTGATCTTTGGTTTCTTATGAAAGGATACACAGTTGCAGATAATGATTACAAACCTGAGAAAACAAGAAACAAGTAAGCCATGGTAGATGCTAATGTCTGCCATGTTGAACCAAACTGTATCAGGAATAGAAGTTGAAACTGTTTAAGAGTATTATTGTAAAAGCCTGCATGTATTTTAAAAGTGTAATGTGACAGAACAGACAATCAGAGGAAAATGGAAAGAGCAGTAATGTTCCCTTTATGTGTGTTAATATAAATGTAGTAAAAGAAGATTTTATTGATACGTGTTGCTGCCTTCCAAAACACTTTGATAAATGTCTTTTGTGAGAAATACTTAAGAAAATGAAGTCAATTCTGCCTAGTAGCCATATGCTGAGTACTTTATAGGTTAGAAAGAGGCGGGGTAAGTATCTGCCCCTCCATCTATAAAGTTTCCAAACTGGTTGACAAAGTAAACTGCTAGATGATTTGGGTGATGTTATCTATGCATTCCTATATGGGTCTTTCTATGTAGCCTGCACTGAATATGTGCCTGCAGGAAGAGAAGGGTCATAGAAGTTCCTTTTTTTCTCCAAAATGGGCCTACCAGGTCTCAAGGACTGTTGAATGATGCTCTGAATTATGGTATCCTGAAAGTTCTTTAATTCCCGAGGGAATAATTTTCAGAGTATCACTTTGCCTTTATCCGCACATTTTATTCTTGTTGCGGGAGTTGAGGTTGTATTATTAGCACTGTGCAGTGCAGTTTTTTTATTTTGGAAAAAAACTCAAACCAACAAACCCCGAACTAGAAGGAATCTAGAGACAGGCAGCAAGAATAAATATATAGAAAATAATGAAGCTATTGGACTAGTTCATTTGTGGAAATAGTAAGTGAAGAGATGGATGAACATTTGCAAAAACAGTGAATGATTCGAAAAGCTGGTGAAATTGTTCTTATTTTCTTTCTATTGTAACACAAGACAGTAAATTTTTTAATTCTCAAACAATTTTATATAATGTGATTTAGTGTTGGTTTTCTTAACTTTTTTGCCTTTTGGTTTTAGTGTTCTATGTGGGCAGCGTAAAACTCCAGGCAAATGAAGAAAGTAACAAGTCACTAAATGTAGATATAGTAAGTGTTCTCTCTCTTAAAACTTTATTGTAAGGAAGGTTGAAATGGCTTTCTTTGTCTACACTTAAAATGCTGATACCTTGACATGATTTTTGTTATGTTTTTTAGAGTTTAAGTTTATTTCAAATACAGTTTGCAGTGCAAGGTAATATTTGCTGAGGATGGATCTACTCTCTCTCTCTTAAACAGCTGCTTTGCAGCTATATTTCAGAATTCCGTCTAAGTAATCTTCCTACAGTAAAGGCCTGTATTCTCGATATCACCATTGAAAGCACAGGGAAGTACTGGCAAGTCTGGAGAGAGAATTAAGAGTCTGCATTTAAGCATACAGGATCTTCCTTTGGAAATGAATTTAGGCATTTTACTTTAGAAAGCAAGCATCATGAGATGGCAACAGTGTGGGTATAAATTAAGGGCCTTTAGATAGACCTTAGTTTATTCCCCCCAGCCCCAAGGCTAGATTATTCATAATTAGATCATTCCTACCACATCATTTACCTCAGTTATTGACATCTTTCTCCAAGGATACTATGTTACTTATGTCTATTATGGAGCCTGTCGCATTGCTGCCCTTATGGTTAGAAAGCTCGTTCAGTGTCTGGTCTAAGCTGTCTTTATTGCAAACTAAGTCAAACTCTTCTTTTTCCAACATGAGATATAGTGAGGTCACTATCCTCTTGCCCATATATTTCACAAATTAGATCCTGGTATTCAGTCTATGCTAGATGAGCAAATTCCTTCCATAAGTTGTGGCAACAATGTCATGGTAAATATTTGTTGAAGTGCTCTTAATGAGAAAATGTGCTTCTTATCTTTGGAATTTCAGACTTTTAGAATGTGTGAAATGAAAATGTTTCTTTTAATGGCTAAAAATGACTGGGTTTACTTAGCCGTGGAATCTGTTTCTAACAGGTTAATAACATAACCATGAACACTCAAGTTACAAAATTAATTGCAATTCCAGCACAAACCCCACAAGAATTGAGGTAAGTAATTTTGAATAAGGATTGAAATCTTTGTTATATTTGAAAAAGGTGAAATGAGACCTTACGTGTGTTTAGCAAACATTTGACTTTGCATTATTCCTGCACTTCATAAATTAACAATTTCAGGATTTTTAAGTTATTGTTCTTTAACATAAAGTTCATATTGGTTAGAATAGTCTTAGTTTTGTTTTATGTACCACTGGAGTTTGGTTTAAGAAATGGTACGTTTCCTGATTTCCCTTTAGGTCCTTCAGTTTCCTTGGGGCTCAACAAGGCCCAAAGGCCTTGCTGTTGATATGCTGATGACCTTAATAATAGTAATAGTAGTAGTACTAGTAATAATAATAACCACCATAACAACAACAATAATAAAAATAATACCTGAGGACATGAGTTGCGGATTGTTGAGAATGCCAGTCTGGCTGCCACTCTTCATGAATAAATTATATAATTTATAATTATATATAGTTTATAATTTTAGAGATTCAGTCTGGCTTGTAGGAAAATAGTAAGAGAACTTTCATAGCTGCATATTTTTTAATATGTATACTTGGACTTCTATCTGTATCTTTGTTTTGGTGTAGTTTCTTCTTTCACAGTCTTTGTAAGGAGAGGTTTGAATAAGTGAATTCTACTATTCTCAAAACTGCCCTGAAAATCCAGAAGATGTAATTGGCCAACAGGTCTTGTTTATAGATTAAATCCATATTTCTTACTCATTCTATTTCTGTGGCTTTGAGTATAAATTTAGAATTCTGGTTCAAATGCTTGCAAAAGGCAACATTGAGATTTATCTTTTGCTCTTTTAAATAATTTCTAAAGAAGTGGATTGATGTTAAAATATGTGATGGCAGAGGTTTAAATTTAGTTTGTGGAGTCACTAGCAAAAGGCAACTATTAAAATGTGCAATGCTTTGAGAAGTGGTTTTACAATTTCAGAACTGGCATGATTTTAAAAAAAAAATGATCAACGGAATATTTTTTTCTTAGTAATTGCTTGTTCTTTTCATTATATTGCTGTAATTTCTTTAGAAACGTAACTAGAAATCCTCCATAATGGTAACTTTTTATTTTAAAGAATTTCAGACTTCAGGAAAATGTTGCAAGCAGTAAGTGAGGTAAGATTACTAATTCCTGTTACTGTTTGGAAAACTTTTTTCAGCTTATTTCTAATCACGTCATTATTGAATTATCAGTCCTGTTTTTCCTGACAAAACAATTTTTTTTTATTTTCACTTGTCATTACAGTCCTCTGTTATGGAATGCAGTGCAGAAAATCAGAGGTTTGTTGTTAATTTTTTTAATGCTTATATATTTAAAAGCTCGTATATTGTCTTGTGATACATCAAGTATGAATGGCTATGTAACAAAAGAAAAACCAATTTTCTGGGAAGTTAAGTTTGAGAAAAAAACTGGAGATATATATGTAGGCTGACAAAGGAATTCTGATCCCATTATTCTCCTAGCATTAGTAATTATATTTTTTTTTTTAACCAAACTTTATTGCTTTTCATTAATCTTCTGGTGAAACACAGGCTTGCCTCCCATAGTTCTCCCTGTTTGTATTAGCTGAGTCACATAGTAACTTAACCCCTAAAGTTATGGGATTTGGGACCACCAAACTTACAGAGCTTGTGAATACAATGCAATCTTTATGAGGGAGTTGCTTCAGACATCCCAAGTTGCTGTTCTGTGGCTTGGGAAACCAGCCATCCTCGGGGCACGGGAAGCCTGAGAAGGTAACCAGTTCAGAGTTTGGAAGCCATGGGGTATCAGAATGGCAAGGTTGCCCCACAGAGGTGATCTGGAAACCCTGAAATGTAGATAATGTACGTCAATTTAATTGCTACTCACCACTAAATTCCTGATTTTGAATGATCAGTTTGGAAACACTATATTCTAAAAGAAAATGTGGAACTTCATTTCCCCAAATACTTGAATTTGGGGGTTATCTTCCTGGGTTAGGATGAAAGAAAAATCCAAAACACTCAAATGGTAATAGACACAAAGTCAGATCGCACCTTCATGTCATACACTGTTAGTATTTAGGGTACTCTTTTCATTCTTTTTAGCTGGAAAGAAGCTTCATTTCGTCTTTTATGTGTTGCCTTTTCATTCAGCTCTGTGTTTGAGTCTGCTGAACATGAAGAATTCTTACTCTAGGTTTGCTAGTTTAGGCAGGGTTTCACATCATCAAACCATAATTGTGAATGTGAAGTTGCACACTTAAGTGGGTCATCTAAGTTCTCTCTAAAGTCAAAATAGAGAACTTTCCCAGCCTTTCCCCAGTGAAGATTTCATATACACTGACATAGCCACCTAGGACACTTGCTCGTTCCTCTCTGGAGTTTCTTTACAGGAACAGTCGAAATTATATTATTATCTTTACAAAATTATTATCTTTAATGGCTAACATTAATTAGGGAGGACCCCATTTAAGATTCAACAGTGTCTGTAGAGAAAAGAGAAAATAAGCTGCTACGAACTTATGTATTATTACTCTTCTGTTTAGCCTGACATAGTGTTTTATGTGCATTAAAAATACCCCCAAATCTGAAAGAACCTAGGAGACATTTTCTTTCACGCTTGTCATTTGTGCTAATGTGCTTTCACGTAGCATTTGATGTTAGTTTCATGCATTGTAAAGATGAGGCAGATCTGTTTCTTGAATCTAAAGATTTTTCTTCTCATGATAGTATACACTGCAATTTCATAATGAAGCTGGCCGAGAGAGAGAATATAAGCAGTTTAACAGACAAAGCAGAAATAAGTCAACTTGGTAAGTTATGCTTTAAACACAGTCTCCCCACCATTACCCTTTCAGATTAAATTTTGTATCTTTACACATTGACCTCCAAGTAGCTAAAATAAAAGATTGTTACTTATTTTTAGATAAGAATAATGTTTTGTTGAACAATATAAATACATCAAAATGCACCCATCTGATATTTGGGTGGGGAGGGTGAAGTTATGTCTAAAAAAACTTTTATGTCTAAAAAAAATTGACTACATTGATAAAGCAGACTTTGAAAGGATTAGGTGTAAAAAATGCTTGAGAACATCAACGTGTTACTGAAATGGCAATCTGAATTGTAAAGTTTATAAAGTCAAGCTTTCTTAGTGATGATGTGACAGTACGGAGTGGTGACTCATACCATTTGTCTCGGTTTCAAAAGATGTAGTTTTGCATTTTGGTTTGTTTACAATAGCAAAAATAGAAATACCTGCTTGTCAGGCATTGTGCAAAAATCCAGGGGTATTGCCATATTCTGACTGGTCAAGATCTGTTTTGCAAATGTAATTTCATAAAAAGACCCTCAAAATCAATTATGCAATATATAGTATTGTTTAAAAAACATAAAACCCATGCTTATTTGATTATCCTACTTCACAGTATTAGCAATTTTTATGCTTCAGGGTAAACTATGTTAATTCTTCTTTGTCGTCTCAGAACGGTGCTGTTGTTCATCACTGAAGTATTGTTCCTTGACTGCTGAAGAATTACAAATGCAGTAAGTATAAATACAAAATTTGACTTGCTTATTTCTTCAATTTCTGAATGCATTAGAAAAGTCAACTTCCATTTGCAGTAACTCCACAAGAAAAACCTGACAGGCATTTTCCTATATAGTTCCCTTCCTATTCCTCTCTCTTCCCATCCCTTTGCTTCTCTTCTCTCTTTTTTAAAATTTGTTTTCACTTTTTTCCCATCCCTTTTGTGTTCAGCATCAAGTCAGCTCTAGGATAGGCAGCAAAAGCAGTAACAGTATTTTATGGACTTACTAGTTAATAACTACAGCAAAATAGAATGTAAGAACACTCAAAACATTATGGATTTCGTATTTGTTACTAAAGCATGAAACAGCCAATATGATTGCTTTAAAAATATACATTATTATTAGTATGTCCATATCATTCATATATATTCCTGTATTGTAACTAATTTTCTTTAAAATATAAACAACGTTAAATTTAACATGCATTTTTATGCTTTTTTTTACAGTATTATACAATCGCCATCTCATTCTATATGGGTTCCTCCCCATCATTCTCATTCTCCTTCTCTCCCCAAAAAGACTTCACCCAAATCCAACACTTTTATTTCCCCCACTACGCTTTCCACCAAAGCAAGCCCCACAATTAGACCACTGATCCCACCATTCACAGAAATTTCTTTTTCTAAAACTCTCTCCACATCTCCCACCACAAATCCTCTCTCTGAAACTTCTGCTACATCTACTACTGAAACTTCTGTGTCTTCTGCCAGTGTTACCACTACACTTCCCTCTTCTGAGTCTCTTGCTCAACCTACCGTTCCAACTTTTCCTTCCATAGCTTCTAATAAATCTGTCACTATTTCCACACCTGCAGCAAAATCTGTCACTAATGCTGGTTTCTCAATTAAATCTGATGCTGCGCATATTACCAAGCCCATTACAATAATTTCTCCTTCTATAAATTTCACTAAACATACTGCAGTTTCCTCTTCTGAATCTGTTGCACAAATTCATCCTGCTACAGATTCGACTGTACCTGTTTCTCATAACAAAACCATTACTACAGCACCTGTTCTTCCCCTTACTCCTTTCACAATAACTTTGACCCCTACTGTTAGTCCTATCAACCATTCTGTCTCAGCTTCTCATCCTCATTCTACTGCTGAAGGCCATGGGAGCACAGGTAAATATAACAAGTAAAATAATTATTTCTTTTTTAAAATTTGAATGCAATTTGCTGAAATTTGCTTTAAACTTTATTAAACAAGATTATATATCTGAGCTGTGACCTTCCAATTACTGTGAAAAATCTGAGACAACTCTAATGAGGTGTGTACTTATTTTAAAATACATTCTGATGCCTTTGGCCATGGTGAGTGGTACCTCACCCTACACATTGTTTGGTAACTGTGATAGATAGATGCTGTGCTAAGTTCCCAAAAGGTATATTTGGCAGAAAAAAATAAGTTACAGAGCCAGAGAGTTATTTTTTAACTAGAGTTATTTTTTTAGCTAAGCAATTATTTAAAATATTGCAAATCAATGTTGGATCTTCCTGAAAATATTTTTCATTAGGAATATTCTTAGTGGCTGTGTATTTTCATATGAAGATTGTATGCTTCTTTACAAGTTTCTTTTCAAACAGCTGACCTTATCTTGATCGTATTCTACTTTCAGGCATCCAGTTGCTAAAAATCCAAAATAATAGGTCATTTAACATCACTAATGGCCTGATGTGAGGAACTTTGTTATCAATAAAAATGTGGAATTAATGCTGACCATTTGAAACCTTGCTTTATGTTTTCCTAAGATTTAAAGTATTGCTATCTGCAAAGTAGCTGACAGGGAGAAAAAAGGAATTGTGTGTCACATAACATGTTGAGAAACCTTACAGGTTGTGATAAGATTTGTTGGTCAAGAGACCTGCTTATTCGTTCTGCTTCTCAAAGCTTGCGCCATTTGTTGAACACAATGTTTAAATAAATGCACAACTTTTCTTTTGTCACAGGAAAGATACTGTCACCTACCACATACACAACTTCTGTATATACCACCATCAGTATCACCACAGCTGAGCAAATTGTGTCCAAAATAGAAAACGATTTAGCAGCTGGAAAAGTAGAGCCAAACGATGTAGAAAGGATGATTAGTGAGGTTAGCAAAGTCCTGACTGCTTCTCAGCCATTACCACCTCGAATTTCTAACAGGTAGGTCATTCTGGCAATAGATTAAAGGTGTATTGTATTGACTGTCTGGATAAATTGGCTTCACCAAGTTTCACTTTTTCATAATCTTAATCCAAAAGAATATTTCTTCTTCTTTAATGTAGTTACATAAAAAGGAAGGAGTATCATTCCAGTTTTACCGGCTCTACTGTAATGTAATGCCATGGAAAACTGTATTTTTTTGTGTTGACACCACAGTAAGTGAGCAGAATCTGATGTATTTTACACTACACTTGGATTGATAGCAACAACTTGGCTGAGAATTTTGGGTGTATGTGTTTGGTAATACTAAGTATCTCTTTTTCTTAACAGAATTATAAAACTGGTGGATTATATTGGCTTAAAATTGAACTTTTCAGCAGTGTCTGCTGATTTTTCTTCTCCTTCCTTGGCTCTGGCAGTTGTCAAAACCAACAGCATCCGCTCCAACCAAATGTCTTTTGCTGTCCAGGACTCAGCTGATCTCCAGGTTAAACACTGATAATTCTAAATACTTAAAAAATTCTCAGATGTTTATTTTTAAGTATTTGTGGTTTTATATTTATATGTAACATGTTCTGTGTCTATGTCACAATTTCAGGCATTTTTGTTTGTGTTGGTTTCAGAGAAAAAATACTTTGTTTTTTAAGCCCTCCGTAGTTTTTTCCTATCATTTTCTACTACAGTGTAAATAAGTAACAGACTTAGCAGAAACTGGCATTTGACTAATAAGCTGTTACAGAGGGTACAGCCAGAACACTGAATGGACAGAGTGCTTGGTGGAATAACTGCCTCAAAACCCCTGAATCATTAGTCACTTAATCACTCACCCTGACAGTGCTGAAATCTGTCGAGGAGTGTTGCCAGATTTCTTCAAGGAGACTAATTGCAGAGGATTCCAGGAAAGAACTATTGTGTTGCTTAGATAATGACATTCATACATTTGTTACTTATGACTAGCTGGTCTCACCAAGAAAGCAGTGCTCTGAAAATTTGGGTCCACTTTGTCTCATTCCAAACTTCTCTCCTGGTTGAGCAAATAATTTGGACAATACCAGCCTTGGAGGCTTTAGCAAGGAGACAGGGAAAGTTCTGGATAAATTTTGTCACATTCTGTCCTCTTGGAGAAGGAAATAGCTTAATGTAGCATGACCCATAAGTTGTACTGGAACTGTTCTGTGATACTGAAAATAATAAGAAATGTTAACATTTGAGTTCTTTCCTATTTTCTTAGCACTATGTGGTGCATGACTGTGAGACGACTAGGAGGTGGTAGTGCCGAAAAACAGATATTTGCTAAGTAATTTTCTGGAAATGCCATGGCACTGGCAATGAAATACAGAGAATTTTCAACAAATATCATCTAGTTCAAACTGGAGCAACAGGAGCATTTATGTGGAATTGAGTTGGAATTACTTTGCTAGCTTTCTAAACCGGTGATCTCCAAACTGCCATGTGTCCATTGGGGTGCAGGAGGAAAATCTCTTTTATATGATTAAATATATGTTTAAAAATAATGTTTAATTTTTATCTCATCCTTTTAAAATTTCTATTTTTGTGTATGTTTTAAAACATGCATAATATATTAGTACAGTAGTACATACATATAACTTATATATAGATAGATATATTTTGGAGTGCATATCAAAAAATTTTTAGGGGTGATCAAAAAAGTTTGGAGACCACTGGTCTAAACAGAAGAGTTAAACCGTATTGTAAGGGCACTGTGGAGAGCTCACACTGTTATTCCTATTACAACCATTCTTTGAATACACACATAATTTCTTTCTTTGGTTCTGCTGATGCTTCACATCTCTCAGGAATGATGAGATTCTCACAACTCTCTGAGATGATGATATTTATATGTAAAGGGACTAATGGGTGACAAGAAAACATTAGAGATTTTGTACCAAACAAAGCTCTTTGTCCTATAAGTACAGCACAGAAAACTGGGTGAAAGTTCAGATCATATTTTTGTAATGTTACATCACTAAGCTTTTGAGATATCTGAATCGTAGCTTACCCAGTTTATTTTTGTGATTTTTGCCAGCTGATCATAAAGTTACGGTTTATGTTCCTAGGTTCTGCTTAAGCTACTGTACTTAAAAAACTATTAACAAATAATGACTATTTACAATTTTTCTGAATTCTGACATACTTCGTATGGAGTATACAAATTCTTTGCCTCTGCAGGCTTCTGTGCTGTGAAATGTTAATCTCCCTACACAGTTACATAGACTTACCTAGGTTGATGCTCTTCACCTTCTTCAAATCAATATTATCTACCAATGATATGTTCTGTCCGTGTAAGAAAATGCGTAAAGACAGAGTATTTTCAGTGGTAGGCGGACTTGAAATGAGTGCATCATTTTCAGGCCTGCAGATGCTATTTATTCATTGGATCATGAGAGGAATGAGAAAGCAGCAGTGAGTTCCTGACAGTGATTACAGAGATATGTATTTCAAAGTTCTAAACTGAAAATAAGTGACAATTTAATTTTTCTTTAGTGACTGAAATGAAGCATAAATGTTGCATTTATTTTTCAGATATCTCTAGGCATTAATTCAATTAATGACTTAAGTAATCTTGGATCAATTACGCTTCCTTCATCATTGCTGACCAGTTTACCTCCTGAAGAGTTGGACTTGGCTTCTAGAATTATATTCAACTTCTTTAAGAAGACCACCGTGTTCCAGGTATCTTTTTGATCCTCTGTTCTTTGGTTTTAAACTCAAGCCTGGAGCAAAATAAAATATGAATGGCCTTTTTTTTTCCCTACAGAACACATTTCAAAACTTCCTGATTTTAATTGTGACTGTGGGGAGGTCGGACTAGATGACCTTTGGAGGTCCCTTCCGGCCTGGGCAATTCTATGATTCTATGATTCTATGATTTTTGTCCAGTGCTCACTCTGTATAATGACTGAGTTTGAGGGCGCTGTACTATACTGTTGTTTCCTTTAAGATTTCAAAATCTGATAATTTTTTTGTTCCAGGATCTGTCCTTGAAGAATGCATCTTTAATCAGCAATGTTATATCATCAAGTGTTTCTAACCTCACAATTAGCAACTTAAAGGCAAATGTTACTGTCACTTTACAGAATATCAAACCTAATCAGGTATGGTTTACATTTGGGCAGATTTAAAGTACAATCTTGTTGCTTCCATTGGTGTTTTTATAGAAGAAATACTGTACTAAGAATACAGATCAGTTGGTTCTGCTTTACTATTGTGGACATTTAATCTCCATCTGGACTTTCAAAATCACTTATCTTTGCTTATTTATCACTGGTATCATTTTTTTGTTACCAGATGCTTTCAGGTAATTTTGCTCTATCACTTATCCATCCAGGTTTTATCTTTCCTACCTACTCTTCCGTTTTATTCTTCAAAGACTCTCAAACACTCTCTCAGATGAGAGCCTGACAGTGGGAGTTGCTACAGAGTTGCTGCAATCATGATGTTTGTAGGTGCTGCATGGCCAGAAAGCAATATAAGTCTTTTTTCCTAGGGGAAATGTTGTTCCTTAAACTGGAACACAGGTTTGTGTCATCTGAAATTATTAAGGCTCACATACAGCATCTCTTTCCTAAATGAGCATCAAATATTAAAATCTTCTATCCCATATTTTAAAAGAGTTTAAAATACTATAAACTGAAAATGTAGGGATTCCACTAATGTACCTGATGCTTTTTTCCTAGATCTGGCTTAGTGTAGCCTTCACTTGTATTAAGACTGAGAGATATAACTGTAGAATTATTAGTATTCATAGCAGTATACTGTATTACTGCTACTATTTTTAGGATTTTTGTATGAGTGGGGAAATCTATATGTAAACCTTTAACATCGTAGTAATTTAAAGTGATCAAATGTTTGCAAATGAAAAAGTTTTTCCTTTTCTGTGTAGTCATTTTCTTGATAATTACAAGGTCAGGAAGGATGAGAAATCCTGAGAATTTGTATAGTGTGGGAAGGCAATGAAACATCATTCATAATGTTCAACCAGGACTAGCTAGCTCCTGTATAGTGACTTCAGACTTCTTCAGCATATTTTCACGTCTATTTCAATATTAATCCATTCTGTGCACCTAAGTTAATTTTCCATTCATGTAAAACAGTTATATTTGTTGTATACAGTATTTATTCTTGCCTGCATTTTGTAGATAATTCATAAGTTACTTTACCATAAACTCATAGTTTAGTAAAACATTATTTTTTTTTACCTCCGAAACAGGATAATTCAACAGTTAGATGTGTTTTTTGGGACTTCAATAAAAATGGTAAGTAATTGAGATCACCCAAGATACCACGCTGTTTTAGTGATGTTAACTCATGTTAATATAAATGAAGGCTTTTATAACAAAGCTGTTTTCTTTAACAGGTGGACATGGAGGCTGGTCACATGAAGGATGCATAGTTAAAGAAAGTAGAGTTAACGAAACAGTCTGTTCATGCAACCACCTCACAAGCTTTGCCGTTTTGATGGTAATTATTTAATAAATTATGCAGTCTTACCATGATTCAAGAAAATATTTAAGCGTGTGTTATCTTTAGCAAATGAGGATGTGGTAAGCACACACCACCTATGAAATACTACTCAGAGTCTATTCACTTCAGCGTTAGTACATGTAGACATAAAATTGGTCATTCAATATTAATCCATTCTGTGCACCTAAGTTAATTTTCCATTCATGTAAAACAGTTATATTTGTTGTATACAGTATTTATTCTTGCCTGCATTTTGTAGATAATTCATAAGTTACTTTACCATAAACTCATAGTTTAGTAAAACATTATTTTTTTTTACCTCCGAAACAGGATAATTCAACAGTTAGATGTGTTTTTTGGGACTTCAATAAAAATGGTAAGTAATTGAGATCACCCAAGATACCACGCTGTTTTAGTGATGTTAACTCATGTTAATATAAATGAAGGCTTTTATAACAAAGCTGTTTTCTTTAACAGGTGGACATGGAGGCTGGTCACATGAAGGATGCATAGTTAAAGAAAGTAGAGTTAACGAAACAGTCTGTTCATGCAACCACCTCACAAGCTTTGCCGTTTTGATGGTAATTATTTAATAAATTATGCAGTCTTACCATGATTCAAGAAAATATTTAAGCGTGTGTTATCTTTAGCAAATGAGGATGTGGTAAGCACACACCACCTATGAAATACTACTCAGGGTCTATTCACTTCAGTGTTAGTACATGTAGCCATAAAATTAGTCACGTGCTTAGGCTGTTTGTTGAATGGGAGCCCATGAGTTCTGATGAAGTATAAAAATCCAAAAGTTCTTATCAAACTCCAGCTTTTACATTTAGGCAGTTGATTATATTGCGGGAAATGAAAATTAGGACAAATGAAATTTAAAACAGTTTTTTAATCAAATGTGATTTCACAATTAGAATCATAGAATATCTCAAGTTGGAAGGGACCCATAAGGATCATCGAGTCTAACTCCCTGCTCCTTGGAGGACTAGGCTGGCTTTTCTGTTTTTCCACTAACTTTTTATAAGATGCATGATGAAAATAATGGTTTCTTTTTATTTTTTTTTTCCAATTGCAGAGGGAAAGGTGCATTTGGGTTATTTTTTTTTTTTTGATCTTTTTCTATTTAAGAAACATGTTCTCTGAAATAAACTTCTGTTTCCATTTTAGAACTTGTATGGAAATACTGCTCTGAATCCCACACAAGAATTGGTGCTGACTTTTATATCCTATATAGGCTGTGGCCTCTCTGCAATTTTTCTTTCTGTTACTCTTGTGACCTACATAGCCTTTGAGTAAGTACCTGTTCAACTAAGCTCCCATTATTCTTCAATTATGATTGCTTTTAGTCTTCACTGCAAAGTCCTTTCCAATAGTTATGGATTCTGTCACCATTAATAATGCACAAATTTGTTCAGTTTACCAGGAAGGTGTTGATTCAGTCTTCAGGAATGTTAATCTTGTGGACAAGTGAATTAATTATGAGGTTCTATGCAGTAAGAAGTGAGCACTCTTAAATATTTTTTAATGGATTATCATAATAGAAGTGTGAAAGAATGTGTTTAATATACAACATATATAGAGCAGTGCAGAATGATAGCATTTTTAAGCACATTTGTATTCTTTGCTGTTTGTCAGAACATTTTCTTATGTTTGAGCCTTAATTACCGAATCCTCCATATTATGTTTTGGAAATCCTCCTTAAAGTTATTCAGCACACATTTGTTCTCTTACTATCCTGTCATCAAGAACTTACTTGTCTCCATCAAGGTTTTAGAAGTCCAGTCAAAAGCCTAATCTAGTTTAGCAATAAGGAACAGTCACGTGTTTTTTCTTGGAAGTAACGTAACAAGAAGAAGTCAAACATACAATGAGGAAAAAAAAGTAATCACAGTGCTGAACTTTAGGAATCCAAGTTATTGCTTGGATTTATGTAACCTTATTATGACAAACTGTATTCACACATACTGTTAATTTGGAAATCTTTTGTAAATTACTCTCTGCATGTATGAATGTGATATATGAAGCATTATATATGAATGAAAATACGTAAAAAAAAATTTCTTGACATTTGTTCACGAAGGACTACAAGACAAAAAGCAAGACAGTTGATGTTATCTCACTAATTTGCTTTTTTAGGAAAATCCGGAGAGACTACCCATCCAAAATCCTTATTCAGCTGTGTGCTGCGTTACTTCTGCTCAACTTAGTTTTCCTCCTTGACTCATGGATTGCACTGTATGATACACGAGGCCTGTGCATTGCAGTTGCAGTATTTCTTCACTATTTCCTCTTGGTTTCCTTCACCTGGATGGGCCTAGAAGCTTTCCACATGTATCTGGCCCTTGTGAAAGTCTTTAATACCTATGTGCGGAAATACATTCTTAAATTTTGCATTGTTGGTTGGGGTATGTATTTTTTATTGTATTATTTTATTTTTTATTAGCATCCTACAAGTTGTAGATTTCACAGAAAAATAATAATTTCAAGTCATTATAATACTGTCTTTGTCATGATTTTCACTTACGTGTTTGCTCATAATCTTTTAGGGTTACCAGCAGTAGTTGTGTCCATTGTGTTGGCAGTGTCACCAGATAATTATGGACTTATAACCACTGGAAGGGTTTCAATAAACAGACCTGATGAATTGTGAGTTAAAGGGAGGCGCTTTTTTGGGTGTGGGAGCCTATGAAATTGGTATTCTTTAAAGTAAAGGTGGGGAAGGGAAGGGAAGGGAAGGGAAGGGAGAAGGGAGAGCTTTGAAATGGTATAGCTCTACAGTATGTCATGTGTTTTGTGGTTATTGCCTATATGAAAGCTCTTACCCTTTGGCCAAAAAATACTTTATACTAAGAGGCAAAAATAGTTTGCATGTGCAACAAACCACACCTTTATCTCATATTTATTTTACTTCATTTCTGTTTCTGATAATGGTTGACACACTGTTCTTGTGTTCTAGCTGCTGGATTAAAAACAGAATTGTCTTCTATATTACTGCTGTGGGATACTTTTGCCTGATATTTCTGATCAATATCAGCATGTTCATTGTTGTGCTGATCCAGCTGTGTCGTATCAAAAAGAAAAAACAACTTGGTGCTCAAAGAAAAACCAGTATTCAAGACCTTAGGAGTGTTGCTGGCCTCACATTCTTGCTGGGAATTACTTGGGGTTTTGCTTTCTTCACTGTAAATGAGGTATTTACTTACCTCTTTACCATTTTCAACACTTTGCAAGGTAAGTTTCTTCTACTGTGACAGTCTATTGCGTACAAAGTAATGATGCCATTTGGAAATGCCATTTTCTTGATTCAGCAATAAAGATGTAATTTTGATACGTGCTTTAACATGTTAATTAAGTTAGAGGTGATACTGTTTTACTGTAATCTTAAATTATAGGTGTGTTACAATAAGATACAGGAAAGCTAGCTACTATTTATATGTATAGTGTATTTATATCTATAAATACTAACATTTTTAAAATTGTCATGGAATTGTCATGGAATTGTTGGAGTTGGAAGGGGCCTCTAGAGATCATCTGGTCCAACTCCCCTGCTAAAGCAGGATTGCCCAGAGCACATCACTCAGGACTGCATCCAGGCGGGTCTTGAAAATCTCCAAAGAAGGGGACTCCACGACCTCCCTGGGCAGCCTGTTCCAGGGCTCTGTCACCCTCACCGTAAAGAAGTTATTCCTCGTATTTGAATGGAACTTCCTGTGTTCCAGCTTGTGCCCATTGCCCCTCGTCCTGTCCCTGGGAACCACTGAAAAGAGTCTGGCTCCATCATCCTTCAGCCCACCTTTTAGATACTTGTAAGCGCAATGAGGTCTCCCCTCAAAACCAGACACCACTGGAAGTGACTGTATTTCTCTAGTCAACAGATCAATTGTAAATACTCTTATTGTAACTGTTCGTATAATAATGCAATTAATGTTTTGAAAACTGTATCATTTCTCCACTTACCTATGGCTTAAGGGCGAGTTGTGATATTCAACAAAGGGCCATTGAGATAGGCAAGGCTGCAAAATCTGAAAGTTAGTGATCTAATTCTTAAGCCTGGCCTTTTGTACTTAAGAACATGTAGGAAGTAGATATGAGGGCATACAGCTTTGCAAAGGCCAGGATACTACTGGACATATCCAAAAGCAGAGTTTGAGAGGCTGCAGAAGCTTTCATATAAATATGAGGTACCGTAGGTGCCGACAGTTATCTAAATATACCTGATTTGCCCTACTGAAGTTTGGATTCAAGCCTCTGCTAACTGACACTTCAGATGGCTGTCTGGCTGATGCCCCAGAGGGATTAAAGCAATGAAAATTGCATTTCAGTGTATTTCTCTGTTGGCTATGTTGATTTTTTTGAGTACCTTACTCTTGGGTAAATTGAGGAGTTGAACCCACATCTTCCCAGGTCTTGCATGGGATTGTGTTCAACTAACGCAAGACTAGATTCTGTGTGGTCAGAGTAATATGTGTGAAAGTGAATCTAATGTGAAAGTAAGTTCCCCTTTTACCCAGTATTAAGTTAGGTGCTAGGCAAATTTAGATAATAGAAGTAATAAAGGTGTATAAATTGTATTGACTTTAATTAAGCTTATTCCAGTGTTTCAAAACTGTATTTGAAAATGGCATAGAACCATCTGAGTAGAGCAACACTTAGTTACATTCAAAAATTCATCCTAATAAAAGCCAAAGTTAAGAGAGCTACTTCAGCAAAGAAAGATGGGAGTAATCTCTTTTACTGGGATGTTACATGCTTAACTGGCCTTAAAAGCAGTGTAAACATAGCATACATGCACGTCTACACCAGTCTGATTTTAGTTTTCCTTCATGTTATTTTCTATTCATAGTAAACCTAAAATCTGTTCTCAGGGACACGTTGCAGCTAGAAAATTGTGTTAAGACTGAGTGCCATTTTCCTTAAAGGAGGATGATGACGATGGATTTTAAGCAAGGAAAGTTATGTCACACCCTGTGCCAGTGAAAACTGAATGAGAATCAGACAGTGAGTCTGTGAAGTGGCACTGGCAAGAGACAGGGATAAGCCCCATCCCTTCTAGAAAATACTTGGCTCTGAATTTGTGGTAAAGGGGGTATCATTTATTCTTATTTTAGATAAGAATAATTTTCATAGTATGAATACGCAAAATTTTGTAGTGTTACTGGTTCTGGTGGTAACAGGGTAGCTGCTAATGAAAGATGGGTCAGTGTCACACCATGTGCTAACAGCTGCATAGCCTGACAGTGTTGTATCATACCCTCTGACATTGCTTTGAAGTCTTCTCCAAAAATGTTAAGTAAATTTCAGGATCCACAGAATTTTTCACTTCCCGTTTGATAACAGGAAACTTTATTATGCACTTTGTGAATTTGGTTATATTTGTTCTAGTATTTGTGTGTATGATTCCTCTCATTTATGTAAGGGAAAAGTACTCTTCAGTGTTCAGAGTTGTAAACTTTTTAACCAAAGAAAGGTGTCATTACTTTTGATTAGAAATTTAAAAGAAATTAAATCAAAACACTGTTTATTAAGAAGTAACAAAGTCAATTTTGTAACATTCTCAAACATTATTGCTTTGCAGGGTTCTTCATTTTTATCTTCTATTGTGTAACAAAGGAGAATGTCCGTAAACAGTGGAGAAGATATCTCTGTTGTGGGAAATTTAGGCTGGCTGAAAACTCTGGTAAATAGGAATTTTTATTTTTTTGCTTGTGTATACTTAGACTCAGTGTTAAGTTCCTAGTATTTTGTTATACTTTTTAAATAAAAAATCAATACGTAATGTTGCTACAGTTGCAGGTCTAATTATCCATATATATCCAGGTATAATAAACCTCAAAAATTATACTCTTTAAAGATGGTAGTTGATGCAATTCTTACATGCTGTTGCATTAAGCTGTTAACTGCAGTTGATCTCTTCCACTACAGTATAAAGGCATGTCTTTGCAGAAGATTTTTGATCAGTTAGAAACTGTAAAATTTGTTCCACCTTCTGAGTCAACTCTAGTTTTTCCAGTGAATTCCACCAAAACAAGGTGAAGCGTAGTTTAAATCAAAAAAAGAACTACAAATGATTTTATGCTATTTTGTTAGTCAGTGGTTGACTTCTCATAAAGCCATATAGTTTTTAGACACTTAAATTTAGAGGATCAACTGTACTTTAGTCATCTTTCTGATCTGGTCTGCAGTCTTAAAGCTATGACAGTTGGCTGTTTGTACTTTAAAAGGGCCAAGAGAAAAGGGAACTAGATTTAAATGACTTTAAACATCAAGAATCGTGAAATTCTTAGGACAATGCTATTCTGTTTAGAATACTTTGAGAAGAGTGGGTAGAGCCTTATTTTAATTCAGTTGCATTATTAACTCTAGTTTTGTATTTTGCTTGGATGAGTTGTGCTATTTTCTGTAACGTATCTGTTGTAGACTGGAGTAGAACTGCCACTAATGGTTTAAAGAAGCAGACTGTAAATCAAGGAGTATCCAGTTCTTCCAATTCCTTACAATCAAACAGTAACTCCACTAACTCTACAACACTGCTCATGAATAATGATTACTCAGTGCACATGAATGGAAATGGTATGTATAATGCAAGTTTTCTTTTTTCTTATCTTAAAACAGTGCTATGCTCTTTCATGCTTATGTAAAATGAAGCGCTGACAAAATATTATTCATAAGTATAGGGTCAGAATATTTCAGGATGTCCTCACAAATGTTTTATGGGACTATAGACAAAGTTTTAAAATACCCATTTCTCCTACTCAGTGGGAACTCTTGATTTATATATGAAATAGTAAGTCATGTTCATTGTTAGAGCAGTTATTTACCAGAAGCTGCTAGTAATGCTTGTCACCTGAATATATGACAATAAACTTCAAGCATGTTTTAAAACAGTTTAGCTTTTAAACCTTATTAAAACAAACATTGCCTGAAAAAGAAAGACATACAGGATAATAACATAACTTGAAAGTATGAAAGAAATCATGTAGGAATTAGTAAGAGGAAGAACATTAATAGAATGCTCACATGGAAGCTGCTTATGAGAGAAGTAAGAGAAAATGGAAACTATACTTACAAAATCACCTCAGTGAACAGAGCACATCTGAGAGATCTGCCTCACTGTTGGCTCCAGAGTAAGTATTGAAACTAAATTTCTCTATAGCTCTTAAAAACCCCTGTGGGTTTTTTAAGGATGTTTTTGCCTTACAGAAATCTATCTTCATTGCAGGAAACAATTTTTCAGAAGTAATATTCTCTATCCTTCCTATTCTAACACAGTACTGTCCTCTGAACTGTTACCATCTGCTCTGTTCCTGAGAAGTTGAAATGCAGGTGTATGTAGCACTCCAATTAATTTCACTTGCAAATTGGCGTGTCTTATTTGTCTGTTGGGAAAACTAGATAGGAATCTCCACTGAATGTACTTATTTGAAAATTATGTTTTTCCAGTGGCCGTAATCTAGTTTTTCACCCTTGCTGGAAGCATGTCGTGCTGCTGATTTGAGCTCTCAGTAAAGACAGTCATTTTTTCAAAGAGGAAAATAATTTATAAATCTGTAATGTATGAAAGTCTAAATTGAGCAAAATTTACAGGACATTATTCCTGTCTGCCTAAGGTATTTTTCCCAGTTGATCAAGAGTTGAGGCTAAGAAGTCATGCCACAGTATGAAGTTGTAGAACATGCTCACAGGGGCTGTGTTGTCCTCCTTTCCTGTCAGAAGACAGCAGATAATCAGTGGGATTATCTCATCAGATAATCTCTCAGATGGACAGAGTAAAAGCTGTGGAATTTGTATGTGCTGCCCCCTTAATATGTTACTGTCTGTTTGGATGTACTAGCTGTATGTTGCATAGAAATCACAACATTTCAGGAAATGGCATGTGGACATGCCTTGAACAGCTTTCCAAATTGAGCTTGTAAAATTAGTTCCTCCTTTTTTTTTTTTTGTTTTTGTTTGTTTTGTTATTCCTTTAGAAAACATCTCTGTTTGGATACCACGCAATGGAATAATTAACATACTTAGTATGTAACAGGTCCATTGGGAACCTGAATCCAGTAACTCTCACTGTCATCAAATACAAAGCAGGCAATATTTTTAGGTAGAATTAATGCCTTTCAAAGAGAGAGAAATTTTCAGGCCCAAAACCTGGTATGTCTTGTAGGGTTTTTTTCCCAACTGTGTTAGTTACTCTGATGAAAAATGCCACCTCTCCATTAAAATGCTTATGTACAGCTACAAAAGCATTTTGGCGACTTTTCTTGGCATAAAGAAAGATAGCAGCAATATTTTATTGAACTTGTTTGTTGTAGCAGCTGAGTGAATGGTCCTGTTGTGGCTTTCCAGAACAAGTTTTTGTTGATTTGAGTAGTGTTTTAGGATGAGGTGCAAAATTGATAATCTAAACCATTGAGCAATGCCCATTCTGTGTGACATGCTCCAGTTCTGTCCTAGTTTATTCACATAATTAGATCTTTTCAGTGTGAGAGTCTGTACGTCCTGTGCTAACAGCTTCTCAGACAAAGCAACTGACAGAACTTTTATAGAACTTTGTTCCTGTACACTCATGAACCCAGATGTCTCAGATGACCCACCTCATCACCTTTTCTATTTTATTGAATGTTTTGAATGCTGTGAACACTGTACCACATCCTCCATTCATATCAAATATGCATACCTGCATAGTTTGTTAGACTAAATAATTCTTCTGGGTCTTTAGGACTTCCACAAGAAGAGGCTAAACTTGTGCTTGGATAGAGTTAGTCTTCCCAGCAAAGCTCTTTGAGGCAATTCCTTACACTTAATCTTCCAAACACAGGGTAGTTGTGTCTCAGAAGAGCCGGGCAAATGCCTCCAAAAAGTAGTTGACTGGTGTTATATAGGAACATGGGATCTTCTAATTTGCTGTACATGATTTTCCTCTTACAGCTAGAACTTCAAAATAACATTGCAATGCTACATATTAAAAAGTGAGCTCCAAAAAGAAAACAGTCTAGAAATTAAGACCTATGTCATAAACATACTGATGTTTATGGTTTTGGCTTCACTACTTCCACTGAAATGCTGTTCCAGATGCAGGATTGAATGACTTGCCATGGTTAAGTTTGGGGTGTCTATACAGCCTGTGGCTATGCTTGCCTACTGGACTGTGTAACTTCATCTTTCCATGGCATACTAATGTTTCCTTGTTTTTGGTTTTTCTCTTACAGGTTTGCATGTTTGAGAAACTACCATTAGGTATCACATGGCTGAACCTGCAGATTTCCTCACTGAGAAACAGAAACCACCCTTCTGAATTTGTTCACAGAATAGCCTTATTTTCTTCTCAGATTTTGCCCTAACATTAGGGCACATTGAACACTCCTTCTAAAACAAACCAGCTGTAGTCAGCCAGGGGGTTAAATAACTATATATGCACAATTACAGTATCAGCAAATATAGTGATTTTCTGTCATTTCAGTCTTTATCAGATTTGAATTGATTAACAAAGCACTTCTCATCTTACCCTGTTTACATTTGTGCTGGTTTAGTGCTTGATGGCCTTTTAAATTAACAATTAAATATTAGACTTTAAGAGGTTTTGCATAATCTCTTGGGCCAATGCTTCCATTTTGTGGGTCGAGTGGCAGCTCAGTAGTTTGGCATGGAATTTGTAATCTTTGACAGCCGTCACCACAAACCCACTCCCTTAAACTTCCATCCTGAGATGTTTAAGTTAAATGCATTACATTTTCAAATTGGTAGTAGGCTTTATCAGCTAGAAATACATGTGCATATCTTATTTTAAAAATGCTGTCTTTCATTCCAAAGAAAAGTTTGCCGATGAGACTTTGATACAACTGATACACTGACATCTGCTTGAATCAGTGGGGTAACTGCTGAAGGGTATGCAGTCTGCCTGAAGTGAAGGATTAGTTTGGGTAGACTGATACTAAACCTGTGTGCCTGGGGGCCGTGGCCCAAGCAGAATAGAGAAGAGCAGGCCAGGCCAGTCATTCATGCACAAGAATCCTTTCTGCAGGGAGGGATTAAGTGCAGGGAAGAGACATCACCAAATACTTCTTCCTTTGGTGAGCCCAACAAAAAATAGTTGAAGAGCATCCTGTAATGTGGCACTTCCCCTTCTGGAAGAATTCAGAAGCTTGAGGTAGTGAGACAGTGAAAGGGGAAGACAGAGGCAAAGCAGGATTCTGCTGCAGGATAGGTGAGGTATTTGGACTGAATCCAGGCGTACTAGAGAGGATTAAATTTTGATCCCTGTAATAGTCATCTTTCACTGCCTAGAGGTTTCTCACCACTGCGTTTCCTCCTCCCAAAAGCATAAACCACAAGCAGTTTCCATCTTCACAGTTGTGTCTTTTCAGTAGATTTACTGAAATCTACTAAGTTATGATGATGTTTGTATATGAAGTGTTGTAAATATCAACGCAAAGAGCAAATTTGGATGTGTTTTGGTTTTTATTAATGCTGTTTCTGGTATAAATGATAAATGACAGCTCTGCATCTGTGTTTGTGAACTCATTTCTCAGTGTTTAACAAAATGATCCCCTCCCAAATGAAATACTGTTTTCCCCATTGTGGTATTCCTTATCATTTACTCCTACTGATATGATACATATGATATCAGGATCCTGGCAGATCTTTTAAACTTGACTGCTTTGGGAAAAAAATACAATTTCCAACCAGAAGCATTTGCACAAATACTTAAAAAAAAATCCTAATTCTCATTAAAATTATCTAGGACATAGTGCATAGAAAGAAGCATTTGCACAAATACTTAAAAAAAAAAATCCTAATTCTCATTAAAATGATCTAGGACATAGTGCATAGAGGTAGGAGATTCTGTCCAGTGAATTGAGCATTTGTGGAGCATTTCATTAATAGGCTGCAATCAGCAGTGGCATCGCACTAATTCTCATTAAAATTATCTAGGACATAGTGCATAGAAGTAGGAGATTCTGTCCAGTGAATTGAGCATTTGTGGAGCATTTCATTAATAGGCTGCAATCAGCAGTGGTATCGCACATCTACAATGTTCATTGTAGATTTACCTCAGTGTGTAAGATTCTCAGTCTAAATATGGCTTAGAGCCATGACTGGACCTAGGCTAGATTCAGGCTGTCCTCCGGAATTAAATGCTGCAAGTTGCCTTTCAAAGGAAAAAAATACCCTTGTTTTCTCAAACACTTTCTTGTTTCAGATGCATGGCAAACCTGAGAAATCTTTTAAATGTAACTTCTTAAAGTAAAACTAGAATGAAAAGTATTTTGCATTTTATCTAGTGATATTTATTCCAAGTCAAAGCCTACATCCTGAGAATCGTGTCCTTCACTGCTTAAAATATGGAATCCTATCATGCGTAAATATATTAACATCTCTCAACTCTCTTACTGGTTTCACACAGGAGAAGACATCTATACAGAAAAATCCACATTTTGAAATTGTTGCAGGGATAAAATGAGAGTGCATGAACTCCCTGCAGTGACTGGAAAAGCATGGGAGACTTGATTCTAAATCTTTCTGATAGGGGATGCACTTTTTTTGTTTCAACAGGCCATCTTTCCAGTGAGAAGAATGGCGTTTCTTTCAGTGTACAGAATGGTGACGTGTGTCTCCATGACTTTTCAGGCAAACAACTTGTATTTCAAGAAAAGGATGATACAGGCAGCCAAAAAAGCCGTATCTCGCTCAGAAGGACTTCAAAGAGGGGAAGCCTAACTTTTATTGAGAAAATGTGATTTCCTTTTAAACAGCACATTGTTTTACAGTGTGAAGTAGAGATTTACTTTAACAGTTTTACATAATGTGAGCAGACCAAGAACTGATTTTATTTAATATATGGTACTGGAACTTCAAGGCAGCCATGCAATGGATTGACAAGGACAATTATTAACCAAAAAAAAACCACACCAAAAACCAAACAAAAACCAACCAAAAAACCAAAGGGACTAGCTACTATTTTGACAACGTATCTTGGATGTCAAATTACAGCTGGCACATTTCCATTCTGATTCTTCATTGGAAGTTTTCTGAGTTTTTTAACATGTAAAGGAAAGTTTTGTTTAGATTTTTTTTCATTACAACTAATTTTAGCTGGATGTAACGCGTAGTAGTATTGTATAAATGTAGGAAGTTACAATTTGTGAGTACAATGTTATCTTTAAAAATGTTACACTGTCTTCAACTTTTTGTACGCTGTAGTATCAAACTCTATAGTGATGTAAATAAGCAGAAAAATAACAACTTTTAAGCATCTTAATGATACTTTTATATTTATTTCTTGTAACATAAATTTAAATATTCCTATGTATAGAAAAATAGTTGTTATTTTGTTTTAACTTCTATTGTAAGTTTGCATTTGTCTTTAATGGAAATAATTAACTTCAACACAGAATGATACAGAAGTTACTTTGTTCAATAAGTGAAATCACTTATGGTGGTTTAAATATATTCACTAGATACAGAACTGTAAATACAAACACTATCCATCTTGAACCTTCAGTGACAGAGCTCTTAGTACGCCACAGAAGGATAGAAACTGGGTGTCATCAAAGTTGAGTGCCATGAATGAGGGAGTGAAAAATAATGTAGTCAGTAGGTTACTAAATACAGCTAAGTTACATTAGTGGCTTGAGTAGGTCAATGGGAGCTTTTGCCATTGATTTCAGCAGGGTCGATATTTTATCTTGAGTGGTGGTTCCAGAGATTAAACACACCACCATTTCTCATTTGCAATGATAAAGAAAAGTAGAGAAGTGTTACTTTTTGAAGAAAAAAATACAGAGAATAAATGCTAGCTGCTATATTTAGTAGCTGAGAAATTGTCTGTTTCATTTTGTGGCTGTTTTTTAAGGGGCAGCTCCTGAGCTATTCTAATGAGTTTCTCTGCTTGTACTTTGGCCCTTGGTTGGCAAGCCAAACCCTGAGGGCCTAGCTCAGTAATTTCTGAAGCAAAATTTCATTCACTTTGTGATATTTTTCTGAAAAAGCTGGATTTTGGCTCTTCATGCACAACAGCTGAAAGAAAATAGTGCCCATACAACATTGTGAAAATTCTTCATGAACAGAAGTTAGCATGAGCCCTCGTTGTGCCTCTTCACAGATGTGTGCAACTGTGGCCATTGCTTTTTTCTCCTTGTGTTCTTGGGCAAAGGTTGGATGCTTCTGGTGCAAGAGCTAGAACAAACTGGTGCCACGCTGCTGAGTGCCAGACCCTGTAAAGGGGATTTTTGAGGCAGATGCTCGCTGGAGGGAAGCAAGGGGTTTGCTTTTCCGGAGCACTCGGTAGGGAGCCCCGGAAACACACTTCTCAACAAAAAGCATCCGTTAAATGCCTTCTATCTGGGGCTCTCTTGTAGTTCAGCAATTGAACTTCTTCAGTACTTAGACCCTCTTGTGGTTCTATATGCAACGCATGGGTTCTTTTGGTCACCTATGTCCAAGACTACTCTGAATATGCTTTTAAAGTGAGAACTTCAAGTATTTGTTGTGTTTATCCACAAGGTTTTAACTGCATGTTAATAAAAGACGGTACTGGAATGCTAGTAGCTGGAATGCATTTCTGTGAATGCTTTAACTATTTGGCTGATTGCCTTTGCACTGTTTCTTGTAAATTTATTTAATGTTCTTGTATTTATATTTTCAACTGTAAAAAAAAGTAATAAATTTACAGCAAGTACAACTCATGAAATATATAAACTTTGTCTATTAGATAAATGTGTCATAATTCTTCAGATTACAAGAGCTGCAGTACGTAACCTCTTGGAGGAAACGCTGACCTAGCCCTTACATTTGTTGTCTTCCACATATTTTACCGTTCATGGTTCGGGCAGATCTGTTTTTAGCAAAGAAAACCCTGACATAAGTCTGTCCAGCCAATGCTCTCCCTCAAGCCTGCTGAAACTCTTCCACAAGAATGCTATGAGCAAAAGCACATAGCCGAGTTTGGCTTCAGTAATTAAATTCCCTATGGAAACACATACTCTACTGTCACTGATCTGCTCGGAGTTGTCCTTTCTTTTTATTTTTGCACACTAACATATGTTAGGATTCTTCTCATCATTTTTATTTGATTTATTCCTGGGGGTGGGGGAATCTTTTCTGACTTTGCCACTTAAAAGCGGCACACACATATTGTAGCAAAATTTTGCCCCCACAGCAGCATATTGTTTTATCTCAGTAATTATCATCATTAAAACTAGCTGAAAAAGTGTTTGCACATCGGGTGTCGCAGTAATCTTTTGGTGCTGGGTCTGGCAGTTTAGCCGTGGCAGCCCAGGGCTTGATGAAAGCTGCAGCCCCTTCCCCAGAGCGCAAAGTAAAATTCTGTGCATCAGCTTGTGGCTGCGAAGCCAACCCAGGGACACCCGACGGGAGGGCGTGGATAAACCGCAAGGTGCTGCCTACAGCTGGCACCACCTCACGCAGAGAAACCCTTCCCGAAGGGCAGCACGCAGCCTCCTGCAGCACCCATCCACACTTAACACCCGTTCTTCCCCTTGCCGAGGAGAACTCACCAAAGATTTTGCAACTGCATGTAACGCACGCCTAAATCTTCTAAGTCTTTGACAAGTTTCTGACCTGATGATGATGGACCTGATGGAGAGGGTCCAGAGGAGGGCCACGAGGATGATCAGGGGGATGGAGCACCTCTGCTACGAGGACAGGCTGAGGGAGCTGGGGTTGTTCAGCCTGAAGAAGAGGAGGCTCCGGGGAGACCTAATAGTGGCCTTCCAGTACCTGAAGGGAGCCTACAGGAAGGCTGGGGAGAGCCTGTTTACAAAGGCCTGTAGTGACAGGACGAGGGGCAATGGCTTCAGGCTGGAGGGGAACAGATTTAGATTGGAGATTAGGAGAGGGTTCTTCACTGTGAGGGTGGTGGAGCACTGGAACAGGTTGCCCAGGGAGGTGGTTGAGGCCCCTTCCCTGGAGATATTCAAGGAGAGGCTCGACGAGGCCCTGGGCAACCTGGTCTAGTTGGGGGTGTCCCTGGCGGGGAGGTCGGACTAGGTGACCTTTGGAGGTCCCTTCCGGCCTGGACAATTCTATGATTCTATGACATTCTCTCTGGTCTCAAAACTATTTTTTTAAGGCTGAAAAAAAACCGGCTTCCAACAATCGTTCTGGCCTTTTGCGTTTTATCTTACAAACTTACGAAGAGGATGTATAAAATCGCCTTTGTTTTTTCAGGCCATTTAGCCTGACTTGTGTCACTTGTGGCGCTGGGGCTGGCGCTGCTGGGCCTTGCCTCTGCTCCTCGCCCGTCCTTCGGGCACCGACACCTCCCGGCGCCCCGGCGGGCTGCGGGGCCTGCCCTTCCTCCCGCTCGCCCTTCTCCTGCCGCTTCCCCGCCCTCCTGCTTCCTTAGAGAAGCCGAATTCGGGATTTCGCGCACCCCACCTGCAACGGAACATCCCCTGCTCCCTCTCATTTCGCCGCCGCGACGGCCCGCCTTCCCCTTCGCCCACCCCCGCCGGGGGGAGGAGGCCGGGCGCCCCGCTCCGCCCCGCCTTGCCGCCGGCCGGCAGGGAGGAGGCCGCCGCCGCCATCACCGGCTGCCGCCGCGCCGATCGCCGCCGGAGAGGAGGGGGCGGGCCCGGCAGCCGGGCCGGCTGAGGCGGGAGGCGCGGGGCGGCGGGCCGGCCGGCCGTGAGGCGATGAGGAGCCGCAGCAACTCGGGGGTGCGCCTGGACGGCTACGCCCGCCTGGTCCAGCGGACCATCCTCTGCCACCAGGTGAGGGCAGCCGCCGCGGGACGTCTCTCCGGGGCTGGGGGCGCCCGGGGTCGGCCGCGGCCCCGGGGGGGGGAGTCCTGCAGCGTAGCGGCCGGAGCCGGTGACGGCAGCCCGGTCGGCAGAATGGGCACGACAGAGCCGGTGGAAGAAACTCTCTCCTCTCCCCGGCGCAGGGCCTCCATTCCCTGTCGCCCCCTTCCCCCGCCTGAGGGAAAGCTGAGGCGGTGCGGATCCTCGGGGCCGCTCGTTCGCCGCTTGTGTAAAGGCACGCCGGAAAATGTGCGGGAAATACAGCGAGTGTGAGGTTCGCAAACAGTCATACCGCGCGTGGAATGCGTTCGTGGTCCTGTTAGACACAGCTCACCCGTTGTAACGCTATATATACATATCTATATATATATATATATACGTGCCTGTAAGGCAAGTCAGCCCCGGTAACAGAGAGGTCCCTGGTGGGGCCTCTGAAATCTGTCTGTCAGCATCCGCCGGGTGTGAATCCAGGGCCGGGCCGGGCAGGGGAGGCAGCAGCCGGCGTGCGGGGCTCTGTGCGGGGCCGCTGTGCCGCGCCTCACGTCGGGGGGGGGAGTCCTGCAGCGTAGCGGCCGGAGCCGGTGACGGCAGCCCGGTCGGCAGAATGGGCACGACAGAGCCGGTGGAAGAAACTCTCTCCTCTCCCCGGCGCAGGGCCTCCATTCCCTGTCGCCCCCTTCCCCCGCCTGAGGGAAAGCTGAGGCGGTGCGGATCCTCGGAGCCGCTCGTTCGCCGCTTGTGTAAAGGCACGCCGGAAAATATGTGGGAAATACAGCGAGTGTGAGGTTTGCAAACAGTCGTACCGCGTGTGGAATGCGTTCGTGGTCCTGTTATACACAGATCACCCGTTGTAACGCTATACATACATATCTATATATATATACGTGCCCGGTTCGCAAACAGTCATACCGCGCGTGGAATGCGTTCGTGGTCCTGTTAGACACAGCTCACCCGTTGTAACGCTATATATACATATCTATATATATATATATATACGTGCCTGTAAGGCAAGTCAGCCCCGGTAACAGAGAGGTCCCTGGTGGGGCCTCTGAAATCTGTCTGTCAGCATCCGCCGGGTGTGAATCCAGGGCCGGGCCGGGCAGGGGAGGCAGCAGCCGGCGTGCGGGGCTCTGTGCGGGGCCGCTGTGCCGCGCCGCACGTCCCACGCATTCCCGGTCCCCGGCCTACATATCTATATATATATATATATACGTGCCTGTAAGGCAAGTCAGCCCCGGTAACAGAGAGGTCCCTGGTGGGGCCTCTGAAATCTGTCTGTCAGCATCCGCCGGGTGTGAATCCAGGGCCGGGCCGGGCAGGGGAGGCAGCAGCCGGCGTGCGGGGCTCTGTGCGGGGCCGCTGTGCCGCGCCTCACGTCCCACGCATTCCCGGCCCCCGGCCTGGGCTGTAGCGGAGCAGCCGCCCCCCGTGCCGGGCTGCCTGCCGGTGCGAGCCGTGAAACAGCGAAGGTGTCAGGGGCTGCTGGGGAGAAACTATGTGTTTTTTTGGCCAGTGCACGTGTACAGGGCTCTCTCTCGCTTCACCCGGGTGGGCTCCGAGGACTCCGCAGTGTCACGCAGTCCGGTACGTAAAGATGAGGGCAAGGGGGCTTTGTGCTCAAGTCAGTTCCCAAATGTATTTAGTTGCTGAGAGTTACAAGAAACGGGAAAGCAGTGAAAGAAGAGGTTAGGACCCAAATCTGCTTAGGTCGGTAGGCTTTTTGTCACTTCTTGTTGTGGGCACAGGGCCCAAACGCCTGTGAATTAATGTTTGTGTACTAAATATTATAAACTTATTAGAAACAAGTGCAAGAACGTGGTATGAGTGGTGTGAGAAGATATCTTTGCTCTCCTGCTCTGCTGGGGAGCAGGAGATGCTTTGAGTTGTGCTTCTGTCTCTGCCTTTTGTCTGCAGGATCACCTTGGACAAGCCACTTTGTCTTCCAGTGCCTGCCTTAATTTCTGTGTTTATAGGGTGCGGATGCTGCTAACAGCCTCCATTAGAGGAGAGATGGAGCCTCTGGGATGCAGACATCAGGCATGCCCCTTGAAAGCTATGCCTTAATGATATTAATAGTTAACAGTAATAAAAAGGGTGACTTAATGGTAATATGGGAGTTTATATCAGTGACCCAGAATTTTGTAATTGCTCTTTACAGTACTTGGATGTGTGTTCCCAGCTCAGTGCTGCCTTTTCCGCTAAGTGCTGGATGCTGGGGAGAATTCAGAGGTGGGGGAAGGAGATAAGTGAGTTTCCATCTGTGTGTGGAAAGCAAGTCACAGGCTAGCAGCAAGGCACAAGAGTGTCACAAGAGGGGCCAGAGAGATGCTGCAAGGCAGGTTTCTAGATTTGTTTTCCATATCTGTACCCTTTATAGTTTCCCAGTGCAATAGATTGAAAATGCCCTGCTCAGCTGGGTGTAGAGATGCAATGCTTGCTCATACAAGTTAGGACAGTTGTCTTTGGGCCATGTGCAGCCCTGTCTTGCTTGGGAGCGGAGTAGCCCATGGCGGGATGGACTGGGCTGCTGCTTCACTGCTGCTGGTGCCTTCTAGGTGCCTTTCAGGATGGAGCCAGGGAGGGGAATTTAAGCCATTGATTTGCCCAGGAGCAAACTGGCAGAAGAGCCAGAAGGCATTTAAGATGCTTCTGAGCACAGGGGTGATGTGTGACTGTGACTTTGTACCTCTCATCCACAAGTGTACCAGATGTGCAGACTTGGGACATCAGCTGGTGTGCTCTGCTGGAGAGCAGTAACGAGCTCGATCATACGGATGCAGCAAGGAGAACACTCTGCTTTGTTAAGAAGGTGTTTAGCACACCAAGGGTCAGGTTTTTCAGTAGCAACAATTGGTCTTGTGTTCATTCCAATCACTCTAAATCAATGTCATTTTAGAGGCATATTTTAATTCAGAATATAAGTGCTACCAGGCAGACATGCATTCAAAGCACAGGTCTGGACCTTTCACCAGGATTGACAGTTCTTGTATGCAGTACTTTGTAGTATTAGAGCCGTAGCAAACTTTTTTTTTTGCTTTGTTTTGCAAGCGTTGTATTCTGCTGACCAGGCCCTGCAGCATGCGCAGTGGTAGGTACGATCCCATTAAAGGATGAGATCCTCATACAAGGAGGCTGAGACCCAAACCACTGGCTCCTGTCTCGTGCTTTTGCATTGGTTATAGCGGCCTGCTGTGGTGTGGGGTCTGCCAGCTGTTGCATGTGGCCCTGGGGACAAGGGACAGAGGGATGCTTCGATACTGTAGCTGAGCAATCACTGAAGAGCATCACCAGGAGGCTGTTCTCAGCTGCTTATTGCGCTTGATAATTTGAATGAGATAAGAAGAAATGAGAGTCTTAAGATATGTCCATAAAATAACAAAACTTAACTTCTATATACATTTTAAGTATTGCTAGGGGTACTATAAGAGTAAAGCATATGGAGCTGATAAGGGGAGCACATCTAGCATACGTTTATGGGTAACCACAATTGTGTTGTGTCTGGTTTCATGCAAACAATCTATCTGTAGACTTTGCTAGAGCTTACATCAGTTTTCGTCTGATGGATCAATGAGGCAGATGCAAATTAAATAGATATTCAGCAAGATGCTAAATGTGGGCTTACTTGTATTGCTGCTCTGGTTAGAACCCCGCTATTTTTGTGCCTGTATTGCTGAAGTTCTTATTAGCATCTGGTGCCCAGTAGGAACTAGTGTTGTGTTTTGGTTTTTTTTTGTCTCCTGACTAGCAGATAGACTTAAAAATAGGATTGGGCATGATACAACAGTTTAAAGTCTTAGTCTAGCAATCAGCTTTCTGTTGCAGTGCTCTCAGCTCACAGAGCCCATGGGTGCTAGCAAAATTCTTTGCGCCGTGGATCTGTATGTGCAGTGTGATTTGCAGGATGAGACCTGCTAGTCCAATTAGTGATCACTGCGTGGATGTAATGCTTTGAAGTACTCGCTGAGCTAAAATCCCTCCGACATCTTTGGGGCTAAGCACACTCAGTGTTTCTTTAGGCTCTTTAGCACCTTGTAAGGGTTGTGCTTTTCACGTGGTGTCAGCAGGTAACAGAAGAATATAACTGTAATTTTTAAGAATAAGTACTTTCTAAAAAAAATACCAAACCAAAACCACTCAAAGTATTAATTAATATACTGTATTGTTCTGCTAACATTCTGAATGTGCATGAGAAAAGAAGTTAATGTATTGTCAGCCCATGAGAGCCAGCCCCAGTGAGTGCACACCAAGAGGTGGGACCTTCTAGCAGAGGAGCCAAAGGCTACCCTTGGGTGTGTTTAATGCAGCCTCTTGAAGGCAGGCATGTCCCTGCCTGGGGACTGAATGGTCTTTTAAAGTCTTGTGTGGACCATTTATCTGGGATTTCCATCTTGGTAGCTGGAGGCATTTGTATTTTGCAAGGGGCAGCCAGCCCAGCATGGAGGGTGGGGAAAAATAAATGAAAGGTATCTTTTCTTAGAAAGCAGGTGAACTCAGTCAAGCCAGGGCTGCAGGTACATAGACATTTGCTGTCCTGCAAGGGAGGGAGGGAAACAAAGAACCCTCTAAAAATACTGGGAATATGCAATCTGCCTTTTGGGAACCTGGTTTGTGGCACAGTGCTGAACTGGGAGCGAGGTCTCCTTTCTTTGCTTGTTCTTCCGTTACTCCTTGGTTTGACTTCTCAAGTTTTTTAAGCTTCTTGGGTTCATATGTGCTACTTTTCCCATCAAATAGATGAGTGGTTGATCCTTCTGTTGTTATTTGGTTTGTGCAGACCATGGTGAGGGTCTGTTTCAGCAGAACTACATGTTCCTACCCTCAGCAAGCCACTAGACATTGCTGTATTTAAACCATAACAATAGTGCTGACTGTGCCCAGTCATGTGTCAGGCTGTCACCCGTGCCCACTTCAGTTGCCACATGCAAAGCCCAGGAAATTGTAATTGAAGCTCCTCCCCCACAAAACTTCTTTCTTAAACTACGGAAGGTTGTTGAGTGAACTGGTATGTAGCAGAAATGAAAAATTGGTGTATGTATTCTTTTTAATTTTACTTATCTTTGTTATTGTAATCTTTGCCCCTTGTCACACCAGCCCTGGTAACTGGTCTTCTTTCACTGACATTTGCTGTAAAGGCTTGACTTTGATTGAATGCTCTATCGACCTTTTTCCTCTTTCATTTTTTTTTTGTTGTTGTTAGTGAAGAACATACAGTTGAGAAAGACAGTCTTAAAAATTTAATGTTAATGAAGTGATGGGAATTAATGAGGCAATGAAAAATTTAATGGAGTATTTGGGATGCAGGAGACTACTCAGTGTGCTGGTTTTCAGACAGTGTTGCTTTTTCAACAGTATCAACATTTGTCTTTCTGTACGTTTTCCAAAGGAGTATATAAAAAGGCTTTGCATGCATTCATGCTTTAGCTGTCAGAAACCACACAAGTAAATAAATTGAAATAATTAATTTCCTAGAAAGGAATTAGTGTTTCTTTATTTCCTCAAGATTATGCCACAGACCGGTTGCATAGGGAAGAACAGATGCCAGACTCAATCTCTAATGTTAACTCAGTACCCTCTTTTCCTTACAAATATCTAAAATTTAAATTCCTATTTCCTCAATGTATTTCAAATTTCACTCAGTGACTTAACTAATAATCCTTTGTGGATGAGGATGCCCAGCTGGGGAGGGAAACAAAGAACCCTCTAAAAATACTGGGAATATGCAATCTGCCTTTTGGGAACCTGGTTTGTGGCACAGTGCTGAACTGGGAGCGAGGTCTCCTTTCTTTGCTTGTTCTTCCGTTACTCCTTGGTTTGACTTCTCAAGTTTTTTAAGCTTCTTGGGTTCATATGTGCTACTTTTCCCATCAAATAGATGAGTGGTTGATCCTTCTGTTGTTATTTGGTTTGTGCAGACCATGGTGAGGGTCTGTTTCAGCAGAACTACATGTTCCTACCCTCAGCAAGCCACTAGACATTGCTGTATTTAAACCATAACAATAGTGCTGACTGTGCCCAGTCATGTGTCAGGCTGTCACCCGTGCCCACTTCAGTTGCCACATGCAAAGCCCAGGAAATTGTAATTGAAGCTCCTCCCCCACAAAACTTCTTTCTTAAACTACGGAAGGTTGTTGAGTGAACTGGTATGTAGCAGAAATGAAAAATTGGTGTATGTATTCTTTTTAATTTTACTTATCTTTGTTATTGTAATCTTTGCCCCTTGTCACACCAGCCCTGGTAACTGGTCTTCTTTCACTGACATTTGCTGTAAAGGCTTGACTTTGATTGAATGCTCTATCGACCTTTTTCCTCTTTCATTTTTTTTTTGTTGTTGTTAGTGAAGAACATACAGCTGAGAAAGACAGTCTTAAAAATTTAATGTTAATGAAGTGATGGGAATTAATGAGGCAATGAAAAATTTAATGGAGTATTTGGGATGCAGGAGACTACTCAGTGTGCTGGTTTTCAGACAGTGTTGCTTTTTCAACAGTATCAACATTTGTCTTTCTGTACGTTTTCCAAAGGAGTATATAAAAAGGCTTTGCATGCATTCATGCTTTAGCTGTCAGAAACCACACAAGTAAATAAATTGAAATAATTAATTTCCTAGAAAGGAATTAGTGTTTCTTTATTTCCTCAAGATTATGCCACAGACCGGTTGCATAGGGAAGAACAGATGCCAGACTCAATCTCTAATGTTAACTCAGTACCCTCTTTTCCTTACAAATATCTAAAATTTAAATTCCTATTTCCTCAATGTATTTCAAATTTCACTCAGTGACTTAACTAATAATCCTTTGTGGATGAGGATGCCCAGCTGGATGCTCTAAGCTTTACATCCTGAACTGTTTTGCATTTTACTTGTGTGAGTTTGGGAAAGAAAGGTGGGACCTCACTTTTGTGAAATTGTGGGCAGCTACAGTGTGAAATCAGTGTGAAGCCATCTTTGGCTCTCTTTTGTTTTGTTACCCTTTGATAGGGAAAGAAGTGGTGCTTCTTAGTAGAGGGAATTTCAGGCAGTAATGTTTGTTTTTTATTCCTTGTGCCGTGGTTAGAATCCAGTTACGGGGCTGCTTTCAGCCGGTACGGACCATAAAGATGCCTGGGTACGGGACAACGTCTACAGCATCCTGGCTGTGTGGGGGCTGGGGATGGCTTATCGGAAGAATGCGGACCGGGATGAGGATAAAGCCAAAGCCTACGAGCTTGAGCAGGTATGTCAAAGTTCAGCATAAACTAGTTATGCTGTTTGGTTTCTCTTCCATATGATAGTGGTTTTGAACCAAGTGCATTCATGTTGCTGCTATGTCTAGGATCTGGCAGGGATTTCTCGGCTTGTAGTGAGTGTCTTGTTCCTGTGACAGCAGCATCGATGCAGCGTGTGGTGTGCAGTGTTCCTGGCAGCATTCCGGCCAGCAGGATTTGGAGAACTAGCTGGCAGAGGGGCTGACATCTGAATTAAAATATAAACAAAACAAAAACATGTAGGAGTCAAACTTCTAACAACTGGCCAATTGTTGAAAATTAGGCTCTGAGAGACTTTATGCCCAGATTTACGAACCTCAGAATCCCTCATGCGGTGTATTATGGAGCAGAAAATCAAGCCTAGGTCACTTGAATCCTAGAGCAGCAATTTATCTGCCAGACCGTTCTTCCCTGTGAGGAGCAGCTTGCCATTTTAAGTAGCAATCTTTAATTTCTGTAATCTGCAGCTGGGAAAGTGGATGTCAGAAGTGGGAGTGTAGAGGTGGGTTAAATGGGAAGTGGGGGAGTTTTAGTGTCAGTGTCCTGCTGTTGTTTTGAAAGCACTGGGCAAATTTTATGCTGACATGTACTGCTCAGACCAGGGGGATCTGTGGTGACAGAATAAACTTGGTTCAGTTTGCATGATTGTATTTTGAGGCTATAATAATATTTGGGTAAAAAGATGGAATTGATTTCTTTATATAAGGCAAAATCCTGTACTTTGTTTGCACAAAAGGCCCTTTCTTTACATTAGTCATCTGCTTTCTGTTGTAAAGAGGGGAAGAAGCTCCACAGGTTTTCCAGTCATGTCAGTGTCTTACAGTAAACTACCACTGTTCCCTGCATCTGTCGCTCTAAAAATCATCATCATCATTGTTATTATTGTTACAGGACATAGCATTCCTCTTAATTCCTTAGGTGGATGGAAGGATCGCAGAGAGTTTCTCCACTGTTTAGAAAGGGCCTTTGGGAAAATATTTGTTCTCCCAGATAGGGATGTGCGAATAAAAATCAACCAGTATATTAAGAAAAAGGCATGTAAAACACTTCAGACAAATACATGGTTTTTTACCTTTTGTGGGAGGTTAGTAGCGGGGGTGAACTTTGTCACTTTTGAATATTGTTTGTAACACCTGATGAGGTGTCACCGGTTCTGTTTTGTTCCTGCAGAACGTTGTGAAGCTTATGCGGGGACTCCTTCAGTGCATGATGAGACAGGTAATGTGATAGGTGTGAGTTCAATTAGTACATGTTGTATTTAAAAAGCATTTAATCAGAAGCATGTGGATGCAGCAGATGGATTTTTTTTTTTTTGCATGTGTGTAGCTGGTGGTATGTGGGGTCTTTTTAAAACTCCTGAGCACAACTCTGATCCTACTTGCACCTTGTTGAGATTGTACTTGCCTTTGCAAACTGATTTTTCACTAAGATGCGTACCTGTAACTAAGATCTGAAACCAGCATGATAATGTCATCTTATTCTTTCCCAAAGAGATGTGGATTTAGCTGGAGTCTGAAGTTAAGAGTTGTGTTTAAGCACTCTGATGAATGAAAACACTCTGAAGTGAGGTAACACCTCAAACACCTCACCTAAGAAAAGTTGATCATTTTGAAATAGTTTGGAAACTTTCTTCCAAAATGTTTCAGATTTGAGATTTGTGCTGTTTTTTAGGTAGACAAGGTAGAGAAGTTCAAACGCACACAGAGTACCAAGGACTGCCTACATGCCAAGTATAACTCTGCAACTTGTGCCACAGTGGTTGGGGATGACCAGTGGGGACATCTACAAGTGGATGCAACCTCCCTTTACCTGCTCTTCTTGGCACAGATGACTGCATCAGGTAAGCAGAAGGTATTTTAGCCTTGACTATTGTTGCAGTCTTTTTCTGTTCTAGCTTTCATTTAAAAAGGAAAAAAAGTTGTAACTAGCTTCAAAGATCTTTACATTACTATTACTCAGAAGAAAGTAATATTTCTCTGGAAAACAGGGATGACTTAGTTAAGATTTCGTGTTTATGGTAACTGGCAGTGCCATTTGTTGGCATACAAATACCTGAGTGTCATGGTTTAACCCCAGCCACCAACTAGGACCATGCAGCTGCTCCCAAATCCAAAACGTAGCACTATACCAGCTGCTAGCAAAAAGGCCAACCCTATCCCAGCCAAAACCTTGACAATCAGATATTCAGAGTCATGTTAGCAAAGAGTTACATGTTTGAAGACTATGCAGTGTGTCCTAATGGACAACCAGTTTCCTTCAGAGAGTGGCGACATTGAGTCAGGTGCCAGCAGTGCCATCTGTGTTCCCTCTTCTTGCTGATGCTATTTTATCTTGTTCTCTTCTCAATTGTACTCCACCTGTGAGGATAAGGATTTGTTTCCTTATGTTTTTCTGTCCTCAGAGCCCCTTGCAATTGACCCTGGCAAAGCAGGTGCCTGGTTGTTCTGATGGTCCCTCCATAGAGCACTAAGCAGGTGGAGGGGTGGGGAGCTGCGGGAATTGGGATGCACCGCTCTCGAGAGCCAGAGCTGGCTCAGATGCCTCTGCTTTGTACCCACTGTGTCTGAATGCCACCCTCACAGGGGTGGGTTTTGGTTGGTCTTTGAGACAGTATGTATTGGTGACATTTGAAGTATTTTATCAGCAGGGAGCATTGAGGCTTCCTGCCTGATCTTTTGAAATTAGCATGAATTTTTCCATTTATTTCAGTGGGCAGTAGTTGGCAGCAAATAAACAAAAGCATGAAACACAACGAAGAGCAAATTTTCAGTTCTGTTACAGCATAATTGCTCTCTTCCCTTCTTTTAATCAGGGTTGCGTATTATCTTCACCCTTGATGAAGTTACCTTTATTCAGAATCTTGTTTTTTATATAGAAGCTGCCTACAAAGTTGCTGTAAGTAGTTATTAATATGTAAATCCTTTGAACACTGCTCAGATGTGGGTGGAAAATTATTTATTGAGGGAGAAGGAAAATACGGACTTCTTTTGCCATAAGATGATGTCAGAACCTGTCAGTACTTTACATTGTAAGCAGCAGCTTTGGAGATGGTGGGAGGGCTGTGGAGGATTTCCTGCTCTCTGGGTGAGGTATACATGTTCTACCATAATAATAGTTTTTCTTTATTGATAATTAATAATATTTCCTGATGTTTCATTAAAATCTTATGAGCCTTTCTAAAAAGGGCAAAGTGTTAACAAGGTTTTTGGAAAGTGACGAGATGAAGGGTCACAGGGAGAAGCATGCACAGGGGGAAGGGTAAAGTCTTTGTGTGTTGTATGAAGACAGTGATTCATGACTGTAGCCCTGATCCTACTAGGGTATATTTTTATGTAATGCACTTTAAATGAGAGGCTCTTTGGAGACTTGGAGCCTTTTTTTAAATTTTGTTTGTAAGACAAATAAACTGATTTCATGCATGATTTTGTTTTGGAGCAGCGGGGGGAAACATTGTGTTTGTATATAATCATGCCAGTTTTTTTCTTGATGATATTGTTGTTGCAGGATTATGGAATTTGGGAACGTGGTGATAAGACAAACCAGGGCATCCCTGAACTGAACGCGAGCTCCGTAGGGATGGCCAAAGTGAGAATGTCTTCCTGAAACCTCCTTCGTGGCTGTTCTGTCGTGCTGAAGGGCTCTGACAAACGTGATGGCCTCCTTTGCATAGTCATCTTGGCCACTGCAATAGTTAACTGATTGTATAAGAATTTTTGTTTGGGTGTGAGTGAGTATTTTTCAGTGTAAAATCCTTGTGATAATGACTTTCATTGAAGGACGTCAACACAGTTTTTCCAGGGCTTGCAAGAAGGGTACCAGGCTAACTGAGGCATGAATCTGACAGATTCAGTGAGGTGCAGTATCATAACGTGGCCTCTGGTTTTCTGTTCCTCTTTCTTAATTCTCCAGCCCCAGTATTATGTGATGTTTTCATGATAAGACTAATCCAGATGTAAATTCTGAAAAACACAAGAATATCAGTCTAAGAAATTATTCACAGCTAATTTAGAGAGAAAAATAAGTAAAGATGTACTTAAAGTGGACATTTCTGCTTCTCCCATACCACAAGGTCACGGAGATACTAAACAAAGCTCAAAAGGCTATAAATGTAAATGTGTAATTGACAACTACCTTTTTACATGGTGTCTGGGGAACTGACAGAAGCCAAATCTCATTAAGGTCAAAGGTATAGTTGCGCTTCAGTAGGATTTATTAGTTACCAAGATCTTGTGTGAGTGCAAGAGGGAGAAACTGCTGGTCTTCGCCACAGTTCAGTCGAATGTTTATGGGGCAGTTTCCATGGGGGATGTTGTTCCTTAGATGTCCAGTATGAATATTTTTTTGGGGCAGTTTCCATGGAGGGGGTTGTTACTTAGATGTCCAGTATGAATATTTTTTTGGGGCAGTTTCCATGGGGAAGGTTGTTCCTTAGATGTCCAGTATGAATATTTTTTTGCATAGAGCAGTCTTGACGTGGGTTGCTGTGATCTCTGCATGACTTCTGGACACATTGATGTAAGGATGATCTGTGGGACTTGCTGCACAGCTTTGCTTCTCTGTGGCTCTGAGTTCAATAGAAGTGCTGTCGGGGGTGGGAACTGGGGTGGCACACTGGAGGTCCTGCTGCAGAGGGCTAAAAAAAAATGCTATTTTTTAAAATTTGCCTCAGGAATTCTCCCTCTTAACATTTCTCTGTCATACCTGCTTTGTGTGGCTACCTGTGGCAGCAATACAGTGCAGAGCATATGCCTTTGAGTGGATCTCCATGCCTTTTCTGCACTGTTGAGACTGCCCATAGTCCTGGCTGTCAGTTCCTCAATGGGGCTTTCTGCTGCTGTCAGTAACATCTGCTGCTCCAGTGCTGGGCTAGGGAGAGGGGCTCTGCAGAGCCACTAAACCCACTGCGCTGTGCAATCCTTCCTTTGTCAGAGATGGACATTACCATGGAACTGCAGGAGAAAAAGTGTGCATGGAGCAGCATTCAGTGCTACCACAACCTGGTAGATATGGTAGATAAAGGAAGGCTCTGCTAACCTGGCTCTGGCCGTCTGGTCCTTGCTCTCTTTCTGCCACATTCCCTGCATGGTGCTGCACACCCTGCTGCTTCAAAGCCAGGTTTTGTAGCCTGATAGGTTGAAGTAGGAATGCCCAAATATAGTTGGTGGTTGGGCTGCTAATGTCTTCACCAGGCAAATGTGTTATAGTCACAAGGTGTGAGATGTGGCGATTCACCTGTTGATATGGAGCATGCTATGCTTTGGTTGGCTGTGGAGAGAGCAGATGTCTCATTTCTCTTTCCCTCAAGAAGTGATAGTACCAGAGAGATGGCAATGCTCTCTTCTCTGGGCACTGGCTGATTCTGGGGTGCCTTGAACAAGCCTTCCTCTTTGAACTGGCCTCCAGGCAAGAGAAGTGAAAGGCCACTGAACATGGGAGTTATTTTGGAACATAGAAGAGTAGAAGCATTTATTATGAAGTACTTCAGGTATTATCTCTGTGGCAGCCCTGCTCCCCATTGTGTTGCATTGCCTTTAAATTGTAAGCTGGGTCACCAGCACATCAGTCTGTATCCTACTAGCAGAGAAACAGAAATACTTCCTTGTTCTAAAATATCGTCAGTCTTTCCTTTAAAGATGAAAAATGTCTGTGAAGCAAACTTACATCTACGTAATTTCCTTCTAAGGAGAAGCACAGGTGCTAGGGTGTGTACTTGGTTGAAAAGCTATTTAATGGTTTGGGGTTGTTGTTTGGGTTTTTGTTTTTTAAAGGCCGCTTTGGAAGCAATTGATGAACTAGATCTTTTTGGAGCTCATGGAGGACATAAATCAGTGATCCATGTTCTTCCTGATGAAGTAGAACATTGTCAGGTAAAACCTAGTCTTCTGTTTCCGTTGCTAGGGTAAAACCCAACAGCCTCTCCCTTTTGTTTTCAAATGAAGTATTGATTAACTGAACCAAGAATTTAATGTAGTAACTATGGCTTCAGACTACACCCTATTCACCCTGTTCCTAGTAGGTCATGTGGAAGTGAATGGTGTGAAGTAGTCTTGCAGTAACTCAGTTAAAAATAATTATGCAGTGAGTTCTCTGTCAGTTTGCAAATAGTACAGTCTATCCCATTTGCACTTGAAATAGCCTTTTCAAGTAGGTAAATTGTTTATATCCCTCTATTCTGTTCCTGTTTTGCTCAGTCAATTCTATACTCCATGTTGCCGAGGGCATCCACCTCAAAGGAGATAGATGCTGGCCTTCTCTCTATTATTTCGTACCCGGCTTTTGCAGTGGAGGATCTAAACCTTGTTAATGTGACCAAGAGTGAAATCATATCCAAATTGCAGGTAAGGATTTCCTTTATTCTTATTTTCCAGAGGGAAAGAGAACCTCCCTTTCTTAATCAAAAATTGTAATTAAAGAAGGGTTGCCAGACTTGGCACATCTGTGCGTGGAAGAGAGGGGAGAAAATCCCTAAGTGACACTTAAAACTCAGCAGATACTTTTCTGCTGATGTTAGTCTGAGGAAGAACAGTATGTGAAGCTTTCTATAATTTTGTCTGTTACAGGGTCGCTATGGCTGCTGTCGCTTTCTCCGAGATGGTTACAAGACACCCAGAGAGGTACTTATAATACGTATTTTCAGTAGACATTAGGAATAATTTTGTCTCCTGTTTATAGGTATTTTTGTCTCATTACATGAAGGGGTGATGCTGTGTATCACTGTTAAGACATTTTAGTGGATTTGGAGGTAATCCAGGTATCCACCCTAGAAATGACACATATCTGAAGGAGGCTGAGGGTTTGAAAACCAATTATTAAGGACAGAAATTTATTCATAGTTCTGTAAGAACTGAGCCCTTAGATATGCTTATGGTGCCGAAGTGGAAGCGGTGTCTCTGAGGCGACCCAAAATATCTTTGATCTGAGGCAGAACCAAGATTATTTGGGTGACGCCTAGATTCTGACACTGGGAAGGGTTGATTTGTCTAGGGAACAATTAAATGAGTCTGAGACTGAATGTGAAAAAGAAGTCAAGAGACTGCATGGAAACTATTTCTAGTGGCTTTATTGGTTTCTTAGTCTTAATCACTTGTATAAAATAGGCTGCCATTATGATTGGAATATGAGTGACTAATTTAGCGCTGTGACTAAACAAGTGTGATTGAATTTCTAGGATCCAAGCAGACTGCACTATGATCCTGCTGAACTCAAGCTCTTTGAGAATATTGAATGTGAGTGGCCGGTGTTCTGGACATACTTCCTAATTGATGGAGTATTTAATGAGGACAAAATTCAGGTGAGGAAAGAAGAAATTACTTTTGATGGAAATGCAAAGCCATTTACCCACAGTATTTTGTAGCTTTACTCCATCTTTATTTTGGGTATCAGGTGGATACCCCATCAGCAGGATGGGAATAGCCTTCAGCCAGTCTCACCCTCCTGGGGAGTTGATGAAGTGATAGAGGCTGTGGGGTTGTGCACACTGGGGCCTTGTTGCCCTCTCTCTCTACTAGGATGAGTGGCTGTTAGCTGATGTGGTCAAACTGGGCTGAGTAGGATTTATTTCCCTGGTTCTGTCTTGTGAGCAACCTGGGTGCCCCCTTCCCGGTTACTTCAGGATGAGAACAGCTTCTTTATCCCCTGAGTTCTCTGGCTTGGCTGCTGAGAACCAGATTCATAGTACTTTCAGTCCTCTCATACATTCAGGGAGATTTGGGGTTGGATTAGGAGGAGCCATTTCATTTTAACTAGTTCCCTAAGTTACTTCATACCTTTACTGTGTCAAGCATCCAGTGGTGAGGGGACCTAAATTGATGGTAGCCCTCCAAAGGCTATAGTGGCACCTGCAGAGTACTAGGGAATTAAAAAGCCGTAAGTAGCCAGGACTAAATGTGTTCATACCAAGACTTCTGTAGATGTGATTTAAAATTGCCTGGTAGGCAGAGGGAGAGGAGATTGCTAAACATAACCTCTTAAAAAACAAAATGGCATGAGAAACAAAACAGAGGATTTCAGGCCAAAAAGCCCTCTTTCTGTATTAGATGTTGTAAATTAAGAGAAATACTTTCTGACAGTAGTAATGTAAGTTGCTTTACTGAACACAGTAAAAATAATGTGATGGAGAGAGAAATGTCATTATTTCCCGAGGGGGAAAACCAGAAATTTCAGTCATGTAAATAAAATAGCCCTTCACAAAGCAGTCTTTAGAACTTACTTGGATTATCTGGGACGGTATGTACCTGATTGCCTTTACTGTGTACAGACGGGCTATACTAGGACATGGTCAGACTGGGCAATTGCTCCCAGTTCCCACAGTTTCAAAGTAGCTGAATGAGTCACTGAGACACTCAGATGAGTGTCTAGTCTTGGCCTATTACTGCCGCAAACAAGTGGTTGCAATGGCAGCAGTTGTTAGAAAAAGAAACACCGAGGACTCAAAAATTTTTGAGTGGAGAAGGACAGGATGCTGAAATATCAGTGTGCCATAATCTGAACCTGTGGGTACCTTTTTAAGCAATTTTAAGCAAGTCAGTTAAGAGAAACCGATTTCCCAGTCCTGCAAAACAGAATTCACAAAATCATAGACAGTTGTGCATGTTGCACTTTTATGGATATCCACAATCCTACCATTCATTTCACCACATTGTCATCTGTTGAAAATTTCATGTAGGATTTGTTCCGGTGACTCCCTGATAGATACATGTTAGAAGTTTTGTACTGCAGTGGTGTGTTATAGATTAAAGATGTGTGTTTGGGGTTCTGAGGCTGATAATAATGAGATGCTGGAACAGATGCTGCTGAGAATTTGAACCCTGATCTTCCATCAGCAAGTCATGATTTCCCACCCCCACCCCTTTTTTTTTTTTTTAAATTAACTTTCAGCAGAAAAGTGCTGTTGAAAAGTACTGAAACTTTAACTTTTTGCTTTTGCTGACTGTCATGTGAATTCTCACACTCACACAATATTTCAGGTACAAGAGTATAGAGAGGCTCTGGAAGGAATACTTATTAGAGAGAAGAATGGAATCGTGCTGATGCCTGAACTGTATGCGGTCCCTCCAGAAAAGGTATTGTGAAAATGCAGCATCCACTTCAATAAGCAAAGTATAGATGTCCATGAATGTCAGTTTTATGGTTTTCCTGTAGCTGATAAACCTAAACCAGCAATAAAAAATGACTATCGCACAACATTTCAAAACTATAGAGACTTCTCACAGCTCCTTCTCAGAAGTGGCAAACTTTAGGCTTCCAAATGGTCATGTTTTTTGTTTGGCAATCTGAGTACCAATGGAACTATTAGGGCAAGTCTAAAGTTTTACATCCTCATAGCAAGGAATATATTTAAGAAGTGCTGGTGCTGACTTAGGAACGAAAGCTCAAAGAAGAAATAAAGCATAGACTGTCCTGCCTATATAGTCTATTGATTGATTGTGCTCTTTTCTTTTCCAGAGCTTGTATGCGAGAGAAATGGGTTTCAGATGGATTAGGGTTTGGGCTGGGGTTTTTGCTTGCTTTGGTTGGGGTTTTTTTCTCTCTCCCTCCTCTGCTGTTACTGTTTGTCTGATTGTCCCATTGTGACAGAAATTCAAATGAGCTTATGTGCTCTTCCATGCTATTTGCCTTTGTATCCCTCCCCGACAACTTTTTCTCCTGCTCCAGACTTCTCAGCCCTCACTCACTGAGGGTGTGGAGCCTCCTGGGTTGGTCTGAGTTTGGGCAGGGAATGTCGACAGCTGATGTCTTGCTCACAGATCTGAGGTGGAAACTCTGAATTGCCTTCCTAGTGGGAACAAGCATGTAAGAGTTGAGAGTCTTCTTGTGAGTTTTGATACGATCATGATCTGGTGAATGTGCCAAATAAACAGTGTAGATTTTGCCTGTCATTTGTCAATTTTATAATGGCTTCGCTAAAGGAGTTATCTAGGAGGGTTTTTTCCCTGCCCTTAATAGATATGTATACTGCAAAACCAAGGCAATTTTTCTTTTTCTAATTTAGTAAGAGTCTACTCTTAATTTTTCCATTGACTGTTCTTACTAACACAGCAAAGGTGGAATAACCATCATTTTTGGAAAGCACTAGGAAGCTAGGTAGACCTCAGTGAAGTTCAAGTGTTATCTTGCGAGGGGTTGGAAAGCAAACGCACAATTACCTACGAGCTGCCCAGAGGGAAGGCAGCAAAGGCATGGTGAGAAGAAAGGGGAAGTGCTAACAGCAAAGCTTTAATGGCATGCAGAGTCCCCCAAAGCTGGAGTCCCCCCAGCTTTGTAGGCTGGGGCAGTGTATGAAAAGGAAGCATAGTTCTTGTCGCAGAAAACGTGCAGCCTTAAAAGTAAAACCAAGAGATCTCAATGTCAGTAATAATGGCAGGTTAGAAAGGGTAGATGATAGACTGTATTTTTTTCGAATACTTCCATGTTATTGACTGTTCTTCACAACTTTAGGGTAATTTTTCTTGCTTATGCATTTCTTTTTAGGTGGACGAGGAATATGAAAATCCTCATTCAGTGGATCGTGTCCCAGTGGGAAAGTTGCCTCATCTTTGGGGCCAATCATTGTATGTCCTCAGCTGCCTATTAGCAGAGGTAACTGTTTCTTGTATGTATTATGTCCTCAGCTGCCTATTAGCAGAGGTAATTGTTTCTTGTATAGTAGATGAGCTTGTACTTCATTTTGTTTTGACATGGCTTGGGCTTTAAGTACATCTTGACAGCTTGTACTTCATTTTGTTTTGACATGGCTTGGGCTTTAAGTACATCTTAGTACATCTTGATTGACAAGTAGGGGACAATGTGTTTTCCAGCAGAAACATGTATATGAACCATGGAGGGGTTACTCTGAGCTTTCAGGGCCTTTTTTGTATATATAGATCTGCAATTGTCTGCTTCTAATCAAGCTGAATAAGTTGCCAGATGGACTAGATACATGCTTAGGCTAGAGGAACGTGCCCCAGCTGACTTGACTGTCCTGGATTTTGCACTGTTTCGATTCCACTAGGCTGTGCCTTACTCTGTGGTATAAGATGCCTACAGAGTTGTCCCATATTAGACATGGACCTTTTAAAGGAACCACTGAATATCTCTGTGGAGCTACAAAAGAAAAAATCACTGGCCTGGTGAAATTATGTCAGGTGCTGCAGCTCTAAAATAGGAAACGTGGACATGTGGATTGTGTCAGTCATAACTGTTTTCTTGTTATCCTGAAAAATGTCACATTCACAAAAGAAAAAATCACTGGCCTGGTGAAATTGTCAGTTGCTGCAGCTCTAAAATAGGAAACATAAACATGCGGACTGTGTCAGTCATAACTGGTTTTTTTGTTATCCTGAAAAATGTCGCATTCGTTGTTTTTATTGAATGTACTACTTAGTGGATGGCATAGAGAAACCAGGTTTTTAGTCCTGCTGTCATGATAAAGTATCAAAATTGGTTAATATTCTTTCTAGATGTCATCAGAAGCCTTTTACTTAATTTTGTTTGTTTCCTTTTTTTCCTTCTTTCTTTTGCATATATTTTAGGGATTTCTTGCTGCGGGTGAAATTGATCCCTTAAACAGGAGATTTTCCACTGGATTTAAACCTGATGTTGTGGTACAAGGTGAGGGAGTTTTTTGAACATTTTGAGTTAATTGGATCATGTGATGGTGAAGTCCCTTTGTACAGGAGAGAAGACAGAGATGTTTAAAAGCAGTATGTTTTTTTGCGTGGGACATGGATGCTTTGGTGTTACTGTAAGAAGGAGAAAAGGGTTATTGGCCTCACCACCACTTTCCTGGGGTGAAGAAGCCTCAGGGACAGGAGAGTGGCAAACTTAATATTGTAGTGAGAATGAAAATTTGTGTGGATTTTAGCAAGAAGGGGTAGGAGACCAGTCAGTTTAGTTAGTTTTCTGTGCTGTTTAAGTTAGGTTTCCTCCTTTTTGGAGGAACCAGAGATCAATGTATGGGTGAGGTAGTCAAACATAGACCTATCTTTTGGCTACTGCAGGGGAGTGGCTTCTTATGTCAATGCAGGAATGGTCAAAACCAGAAAATTAAGCAGTGGGAAAAGATCAGCTGGTCAGGACTTAAAGGCTTTTAAGGGCCTGTACCGCTCTGGAAAAGCAACCAGCTCATTTATCAGGAGCAGCCTTTGATACTGTCATGTGGGCAGGTGCTTGTTTAACCCTTGTTGGTGTCTCATGGGGGTGGTACTTTGCTAATCTGAAGTGCTTAATTTCTAGTAAAAATAGAAATGCTTATTTTTAGCATTCTTTGACAAATATTTATAATGCAAAGAAGAAAACTGAATTATTAGTCCCAAACCAATAAATCAGCTAACATGAGCAAAACCTCAAGCAGAACAAAAGGTTGGATCAAGTCTTGGATTGTAAATTTCCCTGACTTGGGCACTTCCCTTCCCTATCTCTGCCATTTTATGGCCCCTGTAACATCTGTTGCTATATAGGTAACAGCACCTGTTCCCCATTGACTCCGCTGTGTTGTTACCGTGTGCTTTATAAAAGCAATGAAGATTTTCAAGTTGGGTTTTGCCTTGTTTGATGGGGGGAAAGCACCATCTGCTGAAAGAGACTGCATGATCCAAACTAACGGTACTGAAAGAAATCCGGAGAAACTGCCAAGGGCCCAAAGAGCTAAGTCTAACATCAGGGCTGACCCTGCTTTGAGCAGGAAGTTGAAGTAGAGACCTTGTGAGGACCCTCTGCCTTGAATTACTCTGTGGTCCAAAGTAGTCAAGAATGGCAAGACATATTGAGAAGCAGCCAAAAACTGTGTGACACCCTCTTACAGTCCCCTTTGATCTCACAGTCTTGTAACTAAAGAAAGAAGTGAGGTCCAGGCCTTTGTGCATTTTTAGTAAACTATGCAGTGTTTGAGAAGTGACAGTAGAGACAGAGTTGCAGTGTTTGAGAAGTGACAGTAGAGACAGGTAGAGCAGTTAAAAGAGAAGAACTTTGGTTCTTACTAGCGTTTTTGTTTTCTGTTATGCAGTAACTGTTCTGGCAGAATCTAATCAAATTAAGAATCTCTTGCAAGACCATGGAATCAACGTGCAGAGCATTGCTGATATCCATCCTCTCAGAGTGCAGCCAGCTCGCATCCTGAGTAACCTCTATACCATGCTGGGTAAGTATTTGAACATGGCAGCCTCTCTCTACTGCTCTGCCAGGTATTTTTTAAGGGGTAGTGTTTTGGTGTTTGTTCTTGCTTCAAACTGTCTCATTTTCCTTAATTTAATTTCTTTTATTTAAATCAATTTTTTATGTAAAATAAAATGCATTTGTGCAAACAAAATTAGAACTTCTGTCATAAACAGGGAACTTCAACAGGAAAATAAAATTGCCTCATTAGAAAAGGTGACCAAAACACAAGTTTCCCTGTACCCTTGGACTTAGGCAAGAACTGACTCTTCTTGTCCTGCAGGAGCTACTTCCACAAAGAAACTGTCTTTAGTAAAGGTTTTTTTTGTTGTGGAGGTGATTTTTGTTGGGATTTTTTTTTGTGTGTTTTTTGGAACCATCCAAAGTAATGGGGCCTTCAAATAATTCTAGAAAGTGTGCCCTTTACATGGAGAAAGGAAATGCATATGCTGCTTTTGGGAAAGAATTTGTCTTTTTATCACAAAGAACTTTTAACAAATGAAGCATTTGTGGGGCTTTGCTGAAGCTTATATTTATTTCATAATTACTCATAATAGCTTTCTTTCAGTAGTGGGGGTGAGTAGGATGATTTGACACATTGGTGTATTGTTTTAATAGTGACTTCTTTGGGAATGGTATTTTTTCAGGCATGTGGTTGTTTGGCTCATATTCCTTGTCAGATAGATTCAAGTCAGGTCCTGGCTGCTGGAGCAAAGGGTGCAGTGGGCATCATTTCCTAATCTCTACTGAGAAAAGTGGAGCTTATTAGCCTGATGAAAAGAGTGAAAATCTGTCTTTGCATCTGGATGTACCTTTAATTTGGATTTAGCCTTCTGTGGGTTAAATTTTTAAGTTCTACAGTTAAAGCACTGCAATTTCTGTTGTGTGTTGATCAGCTTGTTTTTGAAAGGACATGCCTCCTGTCCTTCTTGCTGGGGAAACTTTGAGTGCTGAGCAATGACTATAATTAAAAGACATAATCCCATGGTCAGTGAAGCCAAAATTCTTATTTTTGATCAGGCCTTTGAAGAACTCTAACTATTATATTGGTGGTTTCTACAAAACAGACCAGTCTGTAGCATCTCACTCTTATCTGTCTTCTGCCTTGCTGATATGAATGAAGTAGATGTCTTGTCTAAAACGGTTGTTGTGGAAAGCCACACAGGAAATATTAGGTGAGAAATTTTTTTTCTTTCTTTTTTCAGGCCGGAACAAGAACATGAAATTAAGTGGACGGCCACACCGACACATTGGAGTGTTAGGCACCTCCAAGCTGTACATGATAAGAAATCAAATATTTACTTTTACCCCTCAGGTGAGCGTGTAAATCTGGCATGGAAATCACTGCTTACTTAATGGCTAATCATTAGCAAAGCACTTTGCTTTTATGTGCTGTCACTCCACAGAGCAGGGCTGATAAAGCAGATGTGCTTTCCTTTTTGGGGTTTTTAAGAGCATTGAATGATCAGCATGGTAGGACTGCTGATAAATCTCTCTTCTGTCATACAGGGTCTGGCTTCTTTGGCTTCTGGCTTAGGAGAACACAGCAAATCAATAGTACAAAGCTGTTACTGACCTCTGCGCCAACCAACATTGTAATGAAATAGTTTCTCCAGAAATAGGTCACTTAATATGTCTTCTTGCTGATTGCCTTGATGGAAAATTTAGTTTTGTGTAAGTGTGCCAAGTACTGTATCCCCCAAGAGACTAAGACGTAATCTTTTCATTATATTGTTGAAAAGGTCAATATCGTGCTGAGAAAGGGTTGTTCTGTCTTTGTTTTCTCCTTAGTGCCTTCAATGCAGCTGGAAGTTTGGATTCTCCCAGAATTAATGGCTCTTATTTATACATTTAATAAAATATGATATATACATACTCCTGTAGACTTACTCTAGTTGTTGGTACTAGAAGGCCAAGGGATCACCTACTCCAAACATGTGGATCTGGAGCAGGATAAAGAATGCTTACACCATCCTAAATAGATGTAGTCTTTAAATTCCAGTCGAAGATACGCAGTGGTCTCCATAGATAGCTTCTGCAGTCCTTCATGATGTCCAAACAACATCAGTTTTACTACAAATAATGTGGCTCCCTTCCCATTCTTCCCCATGTCAATTGATCACAAGCACCTTTGTAACAGATTGTTTTTGTTGTGTTGTTCCTTGCCACCATTTTTCACTTTTGCAAATGAGGGGAAAATTCCTTAAGAGTCATGATTTTTTTCAAAATACCTCTTTGTCTACATTGTACTACGTAAGTAGGACCTAATATTCCAGCTGAAATCTTCCCATGTATCAAGTATGCACGTGCTTATTAATACATTCACAAATGGCAATTATCTTTGCATCAGCAACACACTGGCAGTTGCTGCTTTTT